TTAATCCCTTCTAGGTGTAGTTTTACGTCTTCTCCACAACTGCATACCTTATGTAAACAATCTTGGCATAACTGAGTTGGTCATTAAATCCATCTGTGGCATGATCATCACTTTTACTGAAATTGCTGCAATATATAAAGGACAGAAGATTTGGTAAGTGGACTTGTTCTTATATAGTGTGTTTCTACTCTACTGTAGCACTCTGTGGTGTAGTGCTCTATCGCAAATGCTTAATTCACCCATTCATACACATTTTTCTATGCCACACGCCAATGAATGCATGGGAGAGCAACGTGGGGTTCAGTATCTTCCCCAGGGATACTTTGGCATGCAGACTGAAGCAGCCAAGGATTAAACCACCAACCTTGTAATTGGTTGATAATCTGCTCTACCTCTACCTTCATGCCAGATTCCCTTTCTGACACAAACCCAAATAGGATTTTTGTCTCCGACTAGAACTGAACCAGTGATCTTCTGAATAGACGTCCATAAAGGCAGCAGTGACATTACTGGCTACACTGTTATCATTATGAGAACGTCAGATAAAATGATTGTTCAATTATGGCTGACAAGCCAGCCATGGCAGATCAACTTAAATAAAACACCCAACTCCAGTCATCAGGTAATCAATCAGTGCATCTCTACCACTTCCCTGTGTTACGCATCCTTCATCCAACTCGAACACCTATTCTGCCTTTTTTCTGTTCTGACTGGGCCTCATTTGTTGCACTGACTTACTTAAGCCTGAAATGCTAAGGCAAGTAGGTTTTCAGCATCTCCATAACAAAAGGTCATCCAGTCTAAGCAAATAAAATTACAAATCTAATCAGGCTGCAAAGGGTAATTACTCAGGTACCATGTAAATCAACTGCATGCAAATGTATTACCATGCAAAACTATAATCTAAATGTCCTGTGCTAATATTCATCGCCATTAGTTTATGTGACACAAGGAAGATTGAACCAAACCGTTTTGCTCTCAATAGTCTACAACGACATAGGTCACATACATAAAACTCAAAACCTCAAATAAAATCTGGATGTAAACTGGTAAACTCTTAAACCTAAAACAAGGCTACTGCTTCTACAGACACAGCACCCAACATGTTAAACATCCAGCTAATCCAACCAAAGCAATATCGCTGCCAATAGAGTTGGACATAGTACACAATCTGCAGGCACAATTAAAACAATTAGTCACAGACTGATTATGGCAAGAAGAGGAGGACATTGGATATGTGTGTGTTTGTGACAGGAGAGGTGGGGCGGGTGGGTGCTGGATTACAGAGGTCATGTAGCCTCTGTCCAAAGGCCAGAGCGCTGAGGCCGGTCGGTTATCCGGTCCAGCTCTCTCACCACGCGACGCCTTTGTCCATCTCCTTGTTTGACAATTATTTACTCTGCTGTTTAGGATGGGGCTGAGGTCACCATACATACATCACTGACAAGAAAACACTGGCTACCATGTCTGTCCACTCAGTCTGACCTGTATAGTCCATCAACATTTGTGTGCGGTCAAAAAAAACTAAAACAAATAACCCTTCATATCTATATGTTACATATATACACTGATTGTTCATCATCATATCTGACACACTCTACCTATTGTTTAGAGATCATTACAATCAACACTTTTATTTCAGTAAACTGTTGGTGAACTAGCACATGAGTATTATTATTTTATTCATATGTCATTAATATGTCATGTGCTGAATGAAATCCAGAGTCTCTCTCTGAATGTGGTTTGCTATGATTCAAGAAGCATGGCAGATATCATACAAAGAGTTCTTTGGATAAAAGCCTTGGTCCAATCTGACCATTTACATGAAATTTAAATGTTAATGTAAATGGTCTTCCATCCAACTGGCTCTTTAGCTGTCGTCTCATCTTTCCTCTGTCACTGCTTTTAGAACATAATAAATGTGCTCCCCCCATTATTATAGCGGGTTGGTATTTGCGGCATCCGCCAGGCTTGTCTCTGGCCTCTAGAAGACAATGACATCAAAAAAAAAAAAGAAAGAAAGAAAAAGGAAAGAAAAAAAAACTGTTCTGCCTCTACTGCCCCCCCTCCCCCTACAGCGGTGCAACCTGAAACTGCCTGAAGAGATGAGCCGTCATTAAATACTGCAGAGCTGACATAATGACAGGAAAGATAAAAGGGAGGAAACAAAAAAAAAAAAAAAAAGGCCAGACCAATTCTCGTCCCATAATGCCTCCCCCAACCCCCTGGCTCAGCCTTCACTCTATAATAAAAGACACCAGGCCACAGATAGGACACTGGTCAGCAACAACTTTGCTGCTATGATCTTCAGCTCTAACAACGCCGAGACAAAGCCTGCTCATCCCTGCAAATAATACTCATCCACTCATTCTGACACCTTGACATCTGGAACTAAAACACATCCCACACAATGCAGGAAAGCCCAATTTTATACATATATTCAGAAACAGAAACTATATAGTCATCATTTGTCACATGTTTGATTTGTCACATGACAATCAAACTTTGATATGCCTGTTAGTCACGTCCAGAAATAGTCGTTTAATTTAATTTAATAAAATATAGAATCTAATGAACACTTCTAACTGTTCAGATTAATGCAGCACTTGATGCCAGAGGCATATTCTGAAACAAGCTCATACCTGCTTATCTTAGCAGATTAGCTTGCAAATTAAGCAAAGATTCTCCTAGTGACTAATTTGTTAATGAAATGCGAGTAGAAAGTTTTACAAATTGGCAAGTCTAAAATCAAAAACACTAAGAAAACCTTTGAAAATTTGAAAAAACACAATTTTTAAGAATAGACGTTAAAGGTCTTTCGTAGAAATACGATAGTATTTAAAAGACTTTTGAAGCTGCTAAAACATTTTAAATGCTGCTGACTTAGCCCCATGTGTAACAGCGTAGTTTGCCGAGAGTGGCTAATGCTAGTTTTGCTATACCAGTAGCTTTTTAAAAAAAAAACAAAAAAAAAAAAAAACAAAAAAAAACTTCACATGCTTGTCCAGAGTTGATGTTGACAAAGTCTACATATAACGATTAGTTTTCTAAAATAACTGCACGAGAAGTGCAACTGTTTGCGGGGCCGTTCAACTGTGTTATTTTAACTTTGCTTGCTTACAAATTTCCATTGTCACCTCCAGGGGATGAAATCTCAGACCCAACAGTTAACTGCCTTTGTATATTAATGAAGTAAAAACAGTTTTTACCAACTTTTTAAAAAATTGATCTAGTTGACTAATTGCACACATACCTGGTTTCATTCAGAGTAGAATCAATGAGAGTGTCTGTAAGGGTAAAATTATCCTGATAAGAACAGGAACAGGAGTGTGTTTCTATGTACAGATTCTGTATATGACTATGCAGAATCTATAGGCAATGGGCATAAGAAAAAAAAACAGGCTTTCTGGTTTTCTTTCATAATGAAAGTATCACTGACCAATCACATTTGAGCGAGCATATGGCTCGATGCACACAAGCGGTCCATGGGAAGAGCAAGAGAGGAAGACATTGTCCAATCTGAAAACAATCAGCTATTAGCTTCTTGGAAATGTACCCCTTAGCCCGGATACCAGAACAATGGCCATTAAACCCACAGGCTACCTTCATCTGATGACAGTCAATGGTGTCTCATGCTGGCATGACATGGAAATTAACCCGAAAGAAAATAAGGCTGCTGGTGTTGACACTGCCAATGACATCTACTGCCAAGTTTTGCACATTTCAGCAGCACTTAAAATAATAAATATTGAAGAACATAAGAAAGACAGTTTCATTTATTCTCCATTTAAACAGTCCCAGCAGCATCCCTTTGATAAAGTGTGAAGGTTCATGTGAAGCCGGTGACTTTAGCAAATGAACAATATAAAGAACGTTGTGCCTCCTTCCACAACATGTATATACTGGCTTCTTTCACCATCTCACGCTGTGGCACTTCTACGTGTCACTACCAAATGTACACGCTCTAAAGCTAAATTTGGAAATGTGAACTAGAGAAGCACCATGCAAAGACATTTACCTTTAAATAGACAGTAATAAAATCCCGACACATGATAGTCCAGCACCCTCAGCCCACTGATAGAGCACATATATATTTGCGACACTGCCAACTACTGCACAGCTAAGGCTTTTTATATCACCCGCAGCCTGCTGCGCTCTTTAACCTGCCATGATGCTAAAACATGCAGCTCGGCTTGGTTCCCAGTTGGCATTCCAGAGTTCAGTAAGACTGTGCTGAGGCAATATTTACTTTCAAGTGAAAGTAGCCTACACTTGGCACAGAGCCCTGACTCTTGGGGAGGCGAGAGTGGGGTGTGACAGACTGCTTCTGCTGTGTACTACATCCAACCTTTCCACCCACCCGAAATCCTCCAACTGACCCAGCAAACCACCCACAGCCTTACAGCAGCTATGTCTCGCCTGACTCCACTACCTGGATCAGAGCCAAACCAGAGCCCAAGCAAAGCGCCAAGAGGGACACAGAGTGAGAGAGGCATACAAAATGAGAGCGCGTGGGGAGAGAACTAGTGAGCGTGAAAACATTGCACCTTGGCCTGGCCCTCTGCCAGCAGTCACTTAGTAGTTTTGTTTTTTTTTTTGCCACAAAAGCCAATCGGCGGTCAAACCTCCGCAGAGATTTGAAGGGACTCACAAAGATACTCCTGGAGCGGTTCAAGCCACAGTTAAGATTAAGTTGTCTCTCACGGCAGGGGGCTGGACTTAGAATACAAACAAGACCCTAAATGGAAAACTGACAAGCAGTATAAGGACATACTCATTGGGATCTCAGTAAACTATAGTGACAATTTAAATTATAAAAAAAACAAAACAAAAAAAAATTCTGCCTTGATTTGCAATATTTAAGGAAAGATGGACAATTTTAAATTCTGAAGTTTTATACTCATATTTGAATGAGATAACTGTGAAAGGACATAATAGGATCAGATGGATTACAAAGGAAATCCTGTGGAAAGAAGGGCAACAACTGGCAAGATACTAACCTGTCTAAAGTGGTCATCAAAGCCCCAGTCAGCTTGTCCATTAGGAGAAGTAGCAGAGTGTGCCCCTGCAGGAGACAGGCCCTCGTCAGGTTCCTGCTTCACTCTAACAGGTGGGGAAGCAGCCCTCTGGGGAGCCGATGCAGAGTAACTGCCAAATGGACGGGCTGGGATTCGCGAGGCATTCTGCTGTAAAGCAAGGGTTTGCTTGCGGAGGAACTCCAGACCACTGGCGCTTCCCTCATCATCATCGCTGCCCTCATCCCCTTCCATCATCTCATTGTCATCGTCCTCATCTCCAGAATCCCGACCTCTGTCCTCGTCGTCCTCTCTGTCTGAGTCTACACTGCTCTGATTGGACACCCGGGGAGGCAATCCACCACCAGCGATGCCTCCAGGCAGGCCTTTCCCCATGAAGCTGGCTCCAGAAGCCCGGGCAGCTGCTAAGATGGCCTGTTGGGCAGCAACCTGCTGAGCGTACATGATGTGGGCTTCTCGTATCTTTCTCTCCTTGCGCTCCATTTCTAATCGTGCCTGCTGCTGGCGCTGGAGCTGCTCCATCACTGCTTCGAGTTTCATTCCTCCTGCGGAGGTGCTTGGAGGAAAGGCCACACCAGGCTCCTGAGACATTCCGGGCTGTGAGAGGAAGAGAGGAGTCATGGATGACTTACTGTATACTGAAACCTAATTATTCCTGAAAGCTACAGTGGAGCCAACGAAGCCCGATTTAAACATTAACTCAAACAAATTTGGATAATTCACCCACATGATTTTCCTCAGATTAAAGAAGTAAAACGCTTGTGTACTTTTAAACCTACAATATCCCAACAACAAATTTAAATTATTTTAAGCTAAATAAAGAAATTGAAAAAAATTACAAAAATCTCGCTGGTAACTGGAGCTCTTAAAACCTGAGCATGAATAAAAGCAGAAAAAATACTAGACTAGAAAGTAGCCAAATCAAACTTTTACACAAAGGACTAATCTACATAAAGAGTTTGGAAAGTTAACATTACAGTAACCAGCCACAGAAAAATCTCTGTTAAGATTAGAGGAAATAATTAAAATGCAGTAACCCACCCTGAGTTTTGCTAAGCTCTTAAGGAAGTATTGCAATAATTTGTCAAAGCGACAACGCAGTAAGAGGTGTGTATTAGTAAGAAAGTTAAACGGATATTCATGTATCTACAATCATAAAAGTAGTTATCCCGATAAACTAGATTAACTACTAGTTTAACTAAACTAGATAAACAACCATCAAAGTGAAAAAAAGAGAAGAAAAAAAACTGGCAAAACACATTTTCCGCGTTTATATAGTGAGGTGCCACAACCTCAAACCTGGATACGATTTCAGGATACTCCCAACAAATGCAAAATATGCAACAACGCTTTAGGGAAAAATGAATAAAGTCATTACAGTGTTGTCGAAAAACTATCAAATGAATAAATAAAAGTAACCTACCAAAAGTCAGATTACCCCTAAAAAGTTTTTTTCTTTGAATTTTACAACGTTGAACGAGCCAATGGCGTAAAATAAAAAAAACAATCGGAGCGTTTTCAGCTCGCTGCCGTTTAGGAAAGTGCAAAAGGGCGAGAAGCAGAACCCCGACTCACCATTTGTGCCTTACTACTGCTTGAATTGTCCACCATCCCTCCTTCCTTGGCGTTTTCCTCCCTTCTTCTTTTGGCAGTCGTTCAAACACTTGTAAACACACGCACACACGCGCGCGCGCGCACGGGGGGGTTGGGGGAGAGAGACTCCGAGCGTACACCGCAGATTCCGACTGATCCGCCGGCAGAAAGCCGCTGAACGCTGTTTTTCTGGGTGACCTCTTCAAATGCGTGTGCGTCTCTTTCTTTCTTTTTTTTGCCCCGTGATTTTCGGGGTTTTCTTCTTTAATAAAAAAGTGCACCGACTGGAAAACGGCCAGATCTCATATCTCGGAAAGCGCTGAGGTAACTCCCAGTCGGTTTTTTTCCTCGCCTTCAATTGACACCCCCAGCATGGCGCACTACAGCGTTAGGCCCGCCCAGCGACAGCAACAAGTATCAGCCCTTTTCAGTTCACCACTTTTATTAAGCTCTTTTACCTGTAATGTGTTAATTCCGATTCTTCGCATAAGATCAACTAAAAACTCGAACCAAATTGGTATATTTTCAGAAGGTATTGAACTGATTTTAAAGTGCCAAATGCAGGCACAATATATGAAAATGTAAGCACAAGTAGATGTGGATGTTGTCAGTTACAAATGGATAGTTTTAAAGCTTGAAATTGATCTTTCTGCACATGGATATTGGTCTCTCAATAGGTAGACGGTTAGTAAGTTTAAAGAAAACAACCTGTTCTATTAATTTTTAAAATGAAACACGAACCATTATTAAGCAAGGTTTAAAATAATTCTACAAAAAGTTAATGGGACAGGGCTGTGCTGAGGTTGAAGCGCAGCATAATCATTAAATTGCAGTGTGGCTCCCTGCTACCCCCTTGAGGAAACCACAGACAGTGTATGGTTCATGCTGCTTAGCTCGTAAACTGATCCGAGGCCATTACAGTTAACTAAAACTAAACTAAGAACTAAAACGTGTTGGGGAAAATTTTATAACTGAAATTAAAAAAAAATAGACTTTATATAAAGTAACCAAAAACTATATATAAACAATATTACTTTTATTCTTTATCATTTTGGTCACAAGGCTTTGGTGCTTATGTGTTTTGAAACTGAGATATGTAGATGGCTGTTGGTTCGGTGTTTGTGTTGTACATTAATTCCTCTGAACCCTGACGAATACCCACTTCTTTAACTTTCAAAAAACTTTCTTTCCATGGTAGTCCCTTAGACGAAAATGACCTAGGTGATTGAGAACCCACACAGAAGTTCAGTGAATTTCAGTGTGGTACTGTGACAGGATGCCACTTGTGCAGCAAGTCCAGTTGTGAAATTTTCTCACTACTAAATATTTACCCTACTACTACAGTAGCAGGGTCAGCGGACTTTTGCTACAGACCTCTAAACTTCATGTGCCCTTCAGATTAGCTCAAGAACAGTGTGTAGAGAGCTTAATGAAATAGGTTTTTGTAGCTGAACAACTGCGTTTAAACCTCACACCACCAAAAAATCAGGTGCAGTTATGTAAAGCACGCCACCACCGGACTCTAGAGCAGTCGAAACCTGTTCTCTAGACAGAAAATCATCTGGAAATCCAAAGAATGACTCTGGGTTTGGTGGTTGGCAGGAGAACGGTACTTGTGTGACTTCACTGTGCAAAATGTAAAGTTTGGTGGAGTGGGGATTATTGTATGGTGTTGATTTGAAAGAGTTTGGCTCACCCCCTTAGTTCCAGTGAAATGAACTGTTGATACTATAGCATTCCAAGGCATTTTGGACAATTTCCTTCCTGTTCCAACATGACTACACACCAGTGCACAAAGCAAGGTCCATAAAGACATGGATGAGCGAGTTTGGTGTGGAAGAACTTAACTGGCCGACACAGAGTGCTGATAGAAGTGCCGATAGAACACCTCTGGGATGAATCGGATTGAAGACTACGAGCCGGGCGTTCTTGCCCAACATCAGTGTCTGATCTTACAAATGCGGTTCTGGAAGAATGGACAAAAATTCCCATAAACACTCTCCTAAAACTTGTGGAAAGCTTTCTAGAAGAGTTGAAGCTGTTATAGTTGCACAGGGTGGGCTGATAACCATATTAAAGAGTGCTAAACGCTGTGTCTCTGGCCCAACATACATTTCATTATTCTGAAAACAGTGAATTATGTTTGCATCATGCAGTAGAAATTTGTATGTGCTGGATCCCCTTGTGCTTTGTGTCTTTCCTTTGTCTCTTGTGAAGATAGCTGAGGCCTGTTTGAGTCTTGAGGTCCTGCTGACCGTTCAGTTTCATTTGTAAAGCTTTGTCAGACATAGATTGTCTTCCCTTTAGATTCACACAAAATGCTTTACTAACGACTAGTAGCTGTTTTAATTATTCATGAATTACAATGTAGTACAAGTATTTATAAAACATTTGTTTGTGCTTGATGTAATTGATGTAACTGTATTTAGAAATTGTTAATCCGTCATTTATAAAATATAAAAATGCTGTCGTTGAACACGTTATAGGTGAGCTTGTTAAGGAACAGTAAAGCATTTATATCAGTGTTTATAAACGACATACTAAGAAGAAGTAATACTTTGATGATGAAATACATATTAACTAACATCTTGCAAAGGCTTAATAGTGTGTGATTATTATAATGTGTTTCCATAAAACTTGCCAACAAAAATCAAATTGAAGTGAGAAAATGCAGCCTGGAAAGTAATGAAAACAAAAGTGCTGAATGAAAGTAAAAACGAGTGAAAACTACAACAACTGCAGTAGTCAGCCGTGTCAGTGAAGACACAGATAGGTGCAGTCTGTAATACTGAATATCTCCTGACAGCAGTGGTTCTGAAACTGTGAGGGGTTGGGTGGGTCCCCACTGGTGGGGCACAGACAAGTTGGAGAAAAATATGAAGTGAAACTAATATAAATAAGGATGGGGAGGGCTGTTAGGGGGGGGAAAAACAAATTAGGCTATTGATGCTGTTGTGCTGATTATTATTAAAGTAACATCTAAGGTGGATTTTTTTTTTTTTTTTTTTAATTACTGATTGATGAAAAATGTGATCAAAATGTGCGCGTCCTCTGAGATGTTCCAGGTGTCACTGACAGTTTCAGGTGTGTTTGCAGTTTTTTTACCTAAAAGAAATGGCAGCAAAACACAGAAGAACTATGTGCTATTCTGGTGAATGTTCTGCTATGAAACATAACATTCATGTAAATGTAAATGTAACTAAACACTAAAAGAAAGAGCAAAATGTATTCTGATAGAGCAACAATGGTTCAGTAGCATAAAATCTTTGAGGGACATGACAAAAGGTTGTTCTACAAATTCCCCAAATCTTATTTTGACTGAGAGTCTGTGGGATGTCCAATCCATAAAGGTCCAGGACTCAAAAAAATCCAGGATTTAAAGCTGCAAATGTCTACGTGCCTGATATCACAGGAAACCTTGAGAAGTTTTAAAGAGTTCATGAGTTTTAATATCTTGAAAATCCACATAGTAGCAGGCAAGTGGTTACTACCCATTTACCAAAGAACAACTAATAATAGCTAATCAAAAATAAGACACATAAACATAATCAACTGATTTTTATTTTTTAATGTAAACCAATTAACAATACAATTCAAATAAAAAGATTAGCATTTACCATCATAAAAAAAAACAACCTGTTATTGCATTTTGCACGCAACAACACTATCTCATCACAGGGATGTACACCATACAGATTGTCCCAATAGTTGCATAGTACAGGTGAGTCAAGTGTACTTGCTACTGACCACTGGTGTTAAGTGCAAAATTGTATGTACATAAGAACGTGCAGAGCCAGGGCCGGCGTCAATACACTATAAATTCAGCTGGTCCATTATAAAGCATTTAGTTCACACCTGTATCGAGTAACTCACACTTAAGTGTTATAGTAGAATCAGCTTTTATTCCTTAAACAACCACATTACAACCAAGTAGTGCTGGGAGGAGATGGTGTGCGTGACAAATACTAGTAAGGTAAGATTTTCTAACACCTTACAGTGCAAAGGTGTAAGGGGAAAAAAGGAACTGATTCCAACTTTGTAAAGTACAAACCAAGGTTCCTACTTTGTCATTGCACAAAATGTCACTTTTCCAGTCCTCAATTTGTTATGTTGATCAAGTGGTATGCTATATCATTTATTCACACCACTGAGAGTTAACATCACAGCAAAGGAAGTAACAGAGTGGCCAGTATCTCAGTAAAAATAGCAGCCACATGTCCTCCCTGCACTTGACTCGTTGTGCAGTTTCCTAATTTCTATTTCGTAAATGTAAGTGGAAAACCAAATCATTTCTATTTATGATCATACACCCACCCATCCATCCATCACTCACGCATGCACACACATACACACAAATAAATCTCCTGAGAAGTGATCACTACCACTTACTCTGACATTTAACATCTTTTCCTTTTACTACGGTTTCAAACAGTTAACAGTAAAATATCACCCAGGCTGTAGCATGTCAGTGAACACATACATTTTTAAAAGTGGAAAAAGAAAAATTGTCTTCCAGTTTAATTTTTTTCAGTACATAAGTGCGTCCATTATGTAGGCATCAGCAACACATAACACAGAAAATGAGGCCAACATATAGTATAAGCTTAATAAAATAACATAAGGCTGGACTAAAAGTTTGATTCTAATGGTGATCTGCTGTCATGTTATCGTGTCACAATAGTTAGTGTCTTCAACAAATAATGACAAATATATATATATATATAAATAAAATAAAGTAACTCTTAGTTGAATCATACCCTGAATGAGGCTCTAAATCAAAATGCTACATATCCATCTTTGAACACAAAAGTTTTTAACATAAATCCATATTTGAATTTTTCTCAACCACACCATGTTACTTAATGCATATCGAATAAAAAAAAACTGAAATGCAAATGTCACATAATGACTTCTATGAAGTCCAAATGTAGTTAAATGTATCAAAGCACTTTATTCCATCTGCTCACAGCTGTGCCTTAAACAGCAGTGTGGCATTTGCCAACTAGAATACTAGTATGCTTCACTTTCTCCTTATCCAGTCCTGTCCAATGACCTTTTTTTTGTTTTGTTTTTTTTAAGGAGATGATGGCTTAGTCCTCCTCGGTTTGTCGCAGTTTTCTCAATTACAACTTGTAAAACGTAGTGACCTTTTATAGTGATTATTTGTGTTATTAATGAGTCCACTCAAAAACTATATCTTTCAGATTGTAAGTAGTTATTTTTGTTGAGACATGACTATTTATGTGGTGGCCATTTCATTTAGGAATAAAACTCAAATGTAATTTTAAAGAAAAAAAAATAGTTAATACTTCAGTGATCTGGGAATGTCATTGATAAAACAAGGTACAATTACTTCATGTAGCTGTTGGTTGATAACTGGGTAATGCAGATTCACCAAAGAGCTGAAACAGTAAGACTGTATAGCATATCTGTATGCATGTCATGCTTAGAGGGTTGCACAAGTAACTGCCTGATTACAAAAGACAGTAACCAGTTCACCCTTGGGTTAACAAGGGCATCATCCTAAATGTTGAATTAATCTGTTAGGAGCAGTAGTGTAGTTAGCATTTCACACAGTCCTATTTTTTTTAAGAAACAAAAGAAAAAAAGAATAAATAAAAAAAAATAGGTCAAGCTTTGGGGTCACAGTGGATAAGGCTTGTTCTCACGTCCACCTGCATTTTCAAAGGGGGTTGAGCAATCTCAGTGCACGCAGTCCTGCATGAAGAGGTGTTTGGCTTTAGAGCTGGAAGTCCTCTAGCAGTGCAGCAGTGGAGCTGCGTGACAAAGAAGGCGTCAGGCACCAGTCATTAAAGTAAGCTGAAGCAGGAGCCAAGACTTTGTTAGATTTGAGTCACTGCACTGACATCACTGTATGGGGCAGGATGGGCCCTCAGAGCAGCAGCACACAGAGGAGCCCATGGCTTTGGGTGGAATCAGGTCCAGGTCCTCATCGTCAGGGATCTCATCCAGGCGATAGCCATCCTGAAGTAGCTGCTTGCTCAAATCAGGATGGATCTGGAGAGCAAAGACAGAATATAAGTGAGATGTGATGCAACCAGAATAGTGTAACCACTTAAAAATAATGTTACTTAATGAATTTTTACATGGAAAGTCTGCCCCCCTCAAAATTACATATTTAAAGGCAAGTCTATCAAGGGCTGCTGCACTCTGTGAGAGGCTGTGCTCATGAAGTAGAACAGTTCATTTATTAAACAGAAGGCATAGGATTTGATTCCCTGGCTCTTGATGAGTACCAGTCCATTTAGCACATAGTTTTGTAAGCCAGCTTGGAAGTGTTGTTATGTTATTTTGTTATGTTACTTTATTATATTCGTTTTGGAATGTAAATCTTTAAAAATCAATGCAGCCTTGATCAAACTTAAAACACTAATGTCAGAAACATTGTGGTGACAATGTGGAAGTCATTCAGCTGTAATGTATCCATTATAGCTGACAACCTCTGAAGTCTTCTTTAGCAAACACTTCTGGGACATGTAAAAGGGTCCAAATTCATGATGGGGGTATCTACTTGCATCCTGCATGCTGGACAGTAAACTTGAAAGTGTCTAAAGCTTTTGTCACCAGAAAACCTTCAAAAAACCCACCAACCTCAAGAGGAAGGAACTGGAAGTGAAACATGCCAAGTTATTTCCAGATTTTATGACTCAGTCTCTGTATGTCTTGTTAGAATAGAACAAGACAGTTTGCCACAAGGTACAAACCAAGATAATAATCTTAAATCACGAGACTCAGTGCCTGGGAAAGACAAATAACAGAAGTAAAACTTATCCTTTATTCTCACATTTATTCACAAATGTACTCAGTACATGTCGTTTCTAGCATGCGTACAAATTCAAACAAAAAACAATTTGCTACCAGTTGTGAATGTCTGATGCATTTCTGGTGCAGCTGTAAATGAGCTGCTTGCTGAATGACCTTTGTTGGCATAATAATCATGTACTTCAGCCAATACCTTTTTGATTATTCTTATCTCGTGCTTTCTTGCTTTGTGGTAAGTCTCTCTTCTGTATTCATTGAGAGATTTGAATGCTAATGAAGAAAAAAAAATCCCAAGGTTGCATGTAATTTGGTGGTGCAAAGGGTAGTGTGTTCAGTGGTCTCGTTTCAGTGGTGTGTGCTGACAAGTCAATCCAATGTGTTTGTGAAAAAAGCACCAAAGCACCAAGGCAGGGAGCTAAAATTAAAACAAAAATCAAAAAGCCAGATTTGATAAGAACATAAACTATAGTTCAGCATGCTGTGGCTAAAAGTCACCCAACCAGTTTGACACAATGCTAACAGATTCAAAGAGAATCTAAAAAATGTCCTGTGGAAATAACTCACCTCAGCTGAAGAGTATCCAGAGGAATACTGCTCAAAATCAATCTCCTCATCACTGTTAAGACATGAAGGACAGATTCTTCATAACTTAGGAGGCACAATTTTAGAAAGCAAATTGAGAACCCAGCGAAGAAAATTAAGGTTAGACTGAATTACAGAAAATGGGCCTGTTTTAATTTAACAGTTAGGAAAATACTTGTACAGACCAAGTTATTAAACGCTATTCATTATAGTAACTTTACTTATATGCATACATGCTGTTGCCTTTGGACTACATTCGTATATTCTGTGTTACAGTTTATATCAAATTCATTATCGATCGCACATCATGAGTGTACTTTATAATCTGGCTTCTTGGCCTTCATTAGCCCAGAAGCACTGGTATACTTTCTATTTACAAAACTATACTGGACAAATACCCACATCTTATTCTATGTAATCGCTTGTCTTTTACAAACAGCTGCTGTGATTTTACCTCTTCTAGATTCCTCCACTTTTAAGGACCCAAACACCAATCATAATGCACTATATGTTAATGTTTTGAGCTTGCTGGAAGAGTTCAAAACTCCTATAAATAAATATCAAACCTAACAGTGCAACTGTAATTTATGAAGTGTTCTGGTTTGTTTAATATTTGAAATGGTGTGCTTTCTCTTTGACGATTTGAAAAAGACATTGCCTTATGATTTCATATAAACGTAAATTTACACATACATAAATAAATTCAGTCATTTTGATGTGTAAAATTCAACTGTCTACTAAAAGCCTTTTGACTTTTTTTAACAGGTTTACATTTTAGATTGTAGAGTATAGGTTTACAGACACTAACCTGAATTGGTAAGATATGACATATGGTGGGTTAGACATCATGTGGTTATTTAACGTCTAAATGAGTTTAACATCTTGATTCATCTTACATTCTTTGGACAGAGTTAAGTAGGTAAGGATTTGAATGATAACACCAGACCGTTAGTCCTTAGTGTACTACTGTTTTAACCTAATAACATGAATACCAGGTTTGACCATACCTGTCTGAGTCAATTGCAACCAAAGTATCCTCAGCGTGCTGACTCAAAGCAGCATAGCCCTTGTTATATTTCACCATCCTAAAAAACAAACAAACAAACAAACCCAAAAGACAACCAGAAACAACATTAGAATAATAAATCACAGTTCATCTTCATTATGCTGACATCACAAAAAGCTGCTTCCTCTGATATTCTTTTCTTCTGACCTCTTGGCTCCCTGTCTGGGCTGGTGCGTCACTGGAGGCCCCGGTGAGAGAGCTTTCTTCTTCAGCGCTTTCCTCGCCATCTCCCTGTGTTTCTCTTGAGATAACAAAAGACATTTTTGTTAGGGCAGAACTGACCATAGAGGGAGTGGAGAATGAAAGTAAACACTGACAGTTTACACAGGCAGAAAAATTTAACCTATATAACCTATAACCCATTTTCATAACACCTACGAATTTCATAGTGAGTCAGACTAAAAACACTCCTATGCACTTTTAAAAATAAATTGAGATGTATGAACCATTGACTAGAAAAGTTTTGTATACAATGAAATGTCTAACATCTATTTAGTTAATAAGTAACATGACTTTGGATATAAAGAACATCCCAGGGAGAGGCAGACTGGCAGTGGTTTACCACTCTGTGAAAAACATAAGATGAGAGTCTTATTGTACATTGTACGGGGTATCATTACAAGATTTAGAAAATCCAAAAGAAACTCTGTGCAAGGGACAGGGCCCCAAAAAAAGACTAGGCTAAGATCTTCAGGCCCCTAGGCAGGACTGCATTAAAACAAACAAACAACAACAACAACAAAAGAAAAGAAGAGGAAGATATTTTGTGGCTAAGTTAAGCTGAGAGTGCCCAACAGTGTCATATGACTCAGGATTTGTTTTCCTGCTAGGTGCACATTCAACACAATTCATGCACATCAGCATAAATCACCTCATAAAAACAACAATCACAGGAGGACTGGTGACCTACAGACAGAGATAAAATTGATGTGTTTATGCCACCAACTGTTTGAGGTGAGGAAATACTTACGTAGTTTGAGATGGATGGCTGGCGCTCTGGACATGATGTAAGGTCCTCTTTTTTCCACAGGCCTGATGCCGCCATCTATGCTCTTAGGTCTTGTGCCACTACTTGGCCCCTCAAGTTTCAAAAATTGAAAGCACAATCAGTATCTTACTTAATAAATTACTCAATCATCAGCTTCACTGTCAAAATACAATGTACTGTACAATGAAATGAAGTGACTGTCCTTTATATGGTGAAAATCACTGAAAAGATAAAATGGTTTACATGTTACAATAACAGGGTGGAACAAAAGGACAGAACAAGATATACAGCACCGTGTAAAGTCTTGAAACACCACTCATTTTTTTAAAGTATTTTGATTCCAAGAAGCTGTCTTCTAATCTTTTCACATGTCTTGAGCAACAGTTCTCTCAGCTTTTGAAGGTCTTTCAAAGTTTTTCAAAACCACTTCACACAGACTTATGAAACATTCAACCATGAAAAACACTTAACTTAAGGTATAAAATAGTGTTGCATCTACATATAAGAGAAACCATAAGAAAAACCAATTTCTTATCAGTAGCCTGTTACAAAAAACACATTTGTTCAAAAACTCCACTGACTTCACCAACAAGGTCCGCAAACTTGCACTCATTCCAGATTAAACCATAGGGTCCTTTGATGTTGTCTACCTTTTCGTTTGTATACCTACCTACAACCGAGGCATTGGAGACAGTCATTAAATGAGTATAGTAAGAGTAAAGAAAGTTCCTTACACAACAGAACCAGCTTTACAATCAGATTTGCACTGCAGTACACTTTTGCCTTACCACCACATGTATCAAAAACAATTAGAATTGCTACAGACATAAGCACGGATGTACCATGGGCTCCCCCTATAACCCATTGTACATAACCTTTACACAGAGGAAGTGGAAATTAAAGCTTTGGGCTCCTTCAAAGGGATAACACCTAGCCACTGGTACTGATACATGGATGACAACTGGGTCAAAAAACAAGTAGAAGCCTATACCAAACAAATCAACAGTGGATAAAAACAAGGTTCACCAGGGAGGATACGAAGCATAATAGGTTATTGTCCCTGGTCTGTGCTGTGATCATTGAGGAGGATAGAAGCCTAAACCTTTAAGTTTACTGGAAACACACACTTTCCACCAGCCACTGGAACACAAACTTGGGATAGCCAGCACTCTATAGCACCGACAGAAAGAAAAGTAATATAGGTGTGTAAAGAAAGCTCTTAAAACATGCGGTTATCCCAGTTGGACTTTTGTCAAATCAGCAAAGATGCATATGAATGAATGCCAGTCACCAACCAGGAAGAAAGAATCAAAACTGTAACAGCACTGCTGTATTTTATGTAGCAGGTTTGTCACAGAAACTCAGGAGGATTTTCTCCCAACATGGCTTCCCAGTGTATTTCAGACCAAGCAACAGCCTTATTTTCATGCACACTTGCACAAGTTTAAAAAAAAAAATCACTGCAACTATTTCCCATTTTTGCAGAACAATATACAGAAATGAGAAGCTACCCAAGACAATTGCACAGTACTGTACATCAGTCAAATATTATTGTAATTAATCATCTTTTTAGAAAAATATCCTAGTGCTATTACTTACAAAACAGAAATAGAAACTGAATTAATTAGTTAATATGTTTAATATTGCAACGAATCTCGTTTGGATTCATTTTTGATTTAGCTCCAGCTCCTCCCCAGGGCTGTCTATTACATTGCAGCAGCCAAAGAATATAAGAGAAATTAAAAACTATAGTTTTAGTCCTTTCGATTAGCAAAAACAGCTATACTTCTGATAATTTTTCATTTCACTCACTCTCCATTAATTTCTCCCACACTTATTAAGGTCTATCAACGAAGTCTTGTTCATCCTTATAATGATTTTGAAATGATTTCCGAATTAGCGAAATGTCAAAAATCAAAAGCTAAGCTAGTTAGCTATCCTCCCCCGTTAGCTAGGTTTAGCTGACATTACCGACAAACCCTGCGAATCCTGCTGTGCCTCCAGCAGGGAGTCCTTCTCCGGCTCCTCCAAAATGTCGTTCATCATCTTGGCTTTAGTTGTCACAGTTTACGCCGCAACACACCCATGTTGACAGCTGCCCCATTGGGAAGGGACTTTTAGTCCATAAGCAAACAGGAACTTCTGTTAGCTAGCTGTGCTCTCGCGGGACAGGTTTCATACTACTTCCGGGAATCAGAAACTTCAAAATAAAACCCTGCTCGACTCGAGAATGTTTCCTTAAATGGTTTATAAAATCATGAAGTACGACAAAGCAGCCCGGCCCAGCTTATTAAGAAAATTGCGGATAAATATTAAAGGGGCCTTAAATGTGTCACTAAACTGTCATAATACTAGACTGTCATATTTGCCAATTAATGTTCACGGTTCACGTGAAACTAAACGAAAGTTTTTTCAAGCAGTTTCAAGCAATGACTTGGTTTCAAGTTACAGTAATACAATAAATACATTAAGCAAAAATAGATAAGATACACGTATCAATTTAAATATATTATTTACGCAAATATATAGTTACAACCAGGATGATTTCTAGCCTCTCATCGCCACCTGATGGGCAAAAATAAGAGCCCAGAGAGAGGTCTAAAACGGTTGTGACCAAGTGAAAAATAAAAAGTCTACATTTGTATTACATATACACCTAAATATCTGGATAGAAATATTTTATTATTAAAAATAACTTTGGAGTTTTAACATAGCATATCTAAACTAGGTTTCTTTAGAAAGCAAGAGGAGCAAAAGGAAACACTTAAAATTCTTTAACTTGGGAATTACTTTAAAAATTACATTTTCATTAGGGTTTCATCTGTGTATATAATATATAAAAATATGAGAATGAGAAACAGTTCAAAATACAAATTAATTGCTCTCTTTGAGATGTAATTACTAGCCCAGCTCTGCATAGTCTACAGTCAGGATCTGCAGCCATCAGGGAGTCTTCTGATTCACTAAAATGGATTTTGCTCACACACTTCTTTTGCTCCTTTGATCGTCTTCAGCCTCCTGTTTGCTTGCGACCCTGGAGGTTTTGGAGTGGGGTTTTTTTTGTTTTTTGTTTTTTTTAATTTATAGGCAATAAACATGGGTACTGTAAGGACTGACTAAAATCTAAAACACTGGTTCATCGAATTCATCATGACCATCCGTTTAAAAAAAAAAAAATGCTACAGTTCCTATCCTTTTAAATAGAGTTCAGCTGGTTATTATCTATTCTTCACATCAGATATTTATGAAGGTGTAATTAAGTACATCAAAGGATGTATTAGTCATAGACAAAGAACAAGCACACATCATCAATTTCTGGTTTATTTATAAGGTCCATTATTTTGTACACCACAGGACAGCTAGGATTTAAACAATATTGGCAATTCAGCATGGAGAGAATCGGGAAAGCTCATCTCTTTATACATCTAATAACCTGAGGAAAGAGAAACAAAACAAGTTTGCAATTGAAAGTACGTAACGGGCCACATAATCTGCAATAATATTGTGCAATAAAGTAGAACAGCATGCAAATGCACAGTTCGAGGTAGCACTGGGCAGCATCAGTTACTAATGCCTGAAGCAATTCTTTTTAAAATCCACACTGCCCATCCAGGTAGCATGCTGCAGTATGGTGCAGTCTCACCTTGATAATCTACAACTTGTCAATTCCCAGCTCTTCTGGTGTTGAAATGCCGAGTTCTGTGAGGGTGGGCTTTAGCTCTTGGATCAGGTAGGGATAGATGTCTTTATGGGGGCCTGCTTTGTCCTAAGATAAAGATAAAAATGTGATCAGCTGTAAGGCACAAAAAAATCCTAACAAGGTGTACATCCAATTGTAATCTCAAAGACTACGATTTATGTGACTTCATTTCCTCTAATGGCATATTTTATTGAAATGAGTCTTACACACCTTGACAGCTTCAAGGATGCGGATGGCACTGGCCAGGTCGTTCAGCCTCCGACAAGCTCTTAATGCCGAATCCAAGATCTTGGGTTCAGGTACCAAATCATATCCAATTAGGGTGTTCATTCCTGTGTGTGTGTTTAGTTTACAGAAGTAGCAACGTCATTTTAAAGTTATGATTTTTAGAGTAACCCTCATTTGAACTATAACAATACAAAAATAATCCACTCAAAGTCACCTTTCCTGAGTTCCCAAGCATCTAAGTCAGGCTTGCTGAAGTAAGTGACCCAACGGGAATCAAACTCCTCATCTGTCTCCACCTTTCCATGGGAGTAGCACCTGGAGGCCAAGGGAGCTTGAAAAAAGGATTCAATAAATAAGTTTCAAGGACATACTTGTATTACATACATACATAAATAATACAGTTTAAAACTGAACTAATTTGGACTTAAAAAAACATACATTTATTTTTTTTGTTACCCGAGACAAAGAAAGTTCTAAAACACTGTATTGTACTTAAAGTAAATAAAACATTCCAGGTCCTTAATCAAACATACACACAGTGACATTTTAAACTTTTGGAACACACTGTAAAATTACCTGCATCTACAAATGAACAGGAAGTGCATCTTGGTGCTGAACCATAGTAATAAACATTTACCTTTTTAAATAGATATCAAAAGCATTTTTAACAAACAATATATTTTAAAACAATATGTTCATTTTGCTGTTAAACTGATTTTTTTTCCACAGTACTCAAAGCCCCACTGCTCTTCGCATGGCCTTATCATTAACAGTGCTGCTTCTTATCACTTTTCACTCTGGCTGAATGCAACCTCAGAGGCTTTTGAACAAGGGTACATTGTCAAAAACCTTCTAATTCCTTTTCATTTCTACTCTGGTATGAAATTGCATTTTATACACAGAAACAGAACTCAAAGTACTGTACCAAAGTTATAAATTCCAGCGGCATTACAGAAAGAGTGAAAACACGCACAACAGTAGTCGTTACACATTTTGAGGGAGTAAAGTGAAATAGGGTCATGCAATTTATTGCTACATCGCCTTGATCACAGTAGCTGGTGTTTGCGTGTACATTTGAAGACGTAAACGAGTTTGGTTTCAGTTTCTTTATTTCCAGTGTAGGAAGCCAGCAAACTAAGAATTTGTCGTAGAGAGGAGGTCACTGAACAAACTGTTATGCATTATGGATAATCCAGATGACCCTCTGCACAGCTTACTGGACAGGCAGCAGAGCACCTTCTTAAACTAACTGAAGGACAGATAGTGAAAACCACTTCTACCAAATACTGTAATGCCTCCATTTATTTAGTCCAACAATCCTGAATAATGATTAACTTTTTACATAGCACTCATTAATGTTCTAAACCCGTCTGCCATATACCGTCAACTAACATTAGATGACCTGCACAGGTGAGCTCGGGTCGGTTATTTCAGGAGAACAGCAGCATTAAAAAGGCCAAAAATACATACTCATGGTGTAAATCTTAGATCAAACTCTGTAGCATTGTGATTTGCATTCAATTTTGACCATAGTTCAACGTGTTGATATGAGCTGCGTGCAAACTGCGGTCGCTGACTCTCTCAAACAGACCGAGGAGGGTCATCGCAAGGTCGTGACTTTTACGCTTTAATTCACTTCGCGCCTCAATATTTAAATCACACAACGAAAGGTGAAAACACCAGACTATTTTAATTTCAGACCCTTAAACACAGCAGGTCACAACTTTAATTCAATGTCACCCCATGTTAGCTTCTAGCTACATACAAGCACACAGGGTTAGCTAAGCTAGCTGGGTAGCTATACAAGCCCATTTTACTTAATTTATCACACAGTTTGTTTAATTTCAAGTAAGGTGCAAAGCAGACGGTCCTACCTGAGTAGCAGGGTCGTGACCGAGTCAGACTCCGCGCTCCTGAAGCTGACAGTCGGAAAACGGCACGGAACATGTTACCGCACTGGATACTAACCGTCCTGTACGTGCTAGAAAGGGGTACTCTGGACCTACGGAAGGACACGACGAGGGCGCCATGGTCACGTGACTGAACGAAGCCAGCCGAATGCCTCCTCCAGGCCGTTGACGTGAGCGATTTGTTTTTTGTTGTTTTTTTGTTTTTTGTTGTTGTTGTTTTTTTGTTTGGGTTTTTTTGCTACTATAAAGTAATATATAAATATATTGATTTAACAATAAAATTTCTAAAAATAATTTTTTTCTTCTTGCTCATTTATATTTTTTTCATTTTAGTTTCCATTTTATTTTTAGTTTCGTTTTCCAATTATGGAAAATTAGTATTATGCCCAATATAGTCATATATGCAGAAATAAAAGTTATTACAGTTTTATATTTTCGAATTTTGCGTTGAATTTTTGCTTTCACTTATCTTCTTTTGGCTGCTTCCTTTAGGGGTCGCCATAGCTGAGTATCGATGCTCACAATATCCCGATCATCCTCCTCTGTCAGCCCAATCCTCTGCATGTACTCCTTCACTAAATACACGAATCTTCTCCGTGGTCATCCTCCTTTCCACCTGTCTGGCAGTTCCATCTTCGAAATCATTTGTCCGTCCCATAATTACATCAGTTAAGCAGAGGTTTGGCTAGCAAACTAGTTTGGCTTCATAAGCTAAACTAGTTTAATAGTTGTATATATTAGACTAGTAAACTAATTTAATAGTGGAGTAGACTAGTAAATTACTAAACTAAAATTCATATTTCAAGTTGGTACAGTGTAACACCACTGGTAATGGCCTATAACACCAGCAGAGGGAGCTGTTGGTTTTAAAATATAGTCTTTAGCCCTCTGGTTGTAACAGCACGAGTAATTTTCTAGTATGGCTGCAGGTGCAGCCCAAGTCAAAGAAGTGGAAGATGTCAATGCAAAACACAAATGATCAAATACTTTAGAGTTTTCAAATACTGATTTATGTATGTATGTATGTAGTGCCGACGTAGGACAGTTTTTCCAATTTCATTGTACTACTGTACTATGTATGACTGTGCAATGACAATAAAGAGTTATCTTATGTTATGTGGGGGTTGTCTGTAGTCACATGACAGGCCTTTGCTGTGGATGTAACTAAGGTACAGTGGATCACTCTGTCATGTGTTGATTCAAGTTTGTGTGTGTGTGTGTGTGTGTGTGTGTGTGTGTGTGTGTGTGTGTGTGTGTGTGTGTGTGCGTGCGTGTGCGTGTGTGTGTGTGTGTGTGTTCTTAGTGACGCGGTGAACTGTAATCCCCCCTAAGCCCAGAGCACCACAGTAGATGTCCATTAGTGTAATGTGTTGCTGCACATCTTTCCTTCTCTGTCTCTGCCTGTCTCTTTCTATCTTTCTCTATCCGAGTCAGGCTTTTATTTTCTTCTTTTCTCTGTAAATATCCATGTTGATGTTGTATGTTTAGGCATTTAGCCTCAATTTCAGAATTCCTTTAAACATGTAATTAGATAAGCTCCCTGACCTCTGACCTCACCATGGAACAGCAGCAGAAAAAAAACCATTTTCTTAAATTGGATTTACACAGAACATTCATGTTCCCATATGAGTTTGAAATGATATTAGACTCTTATAAGAGTCTTTACAATTTAAGTTACTGTTCTTATGTAAAGTCATCTGGAATAAGAATAGAAATTCAAAAATTCACCATAAAGTGAAAAATGAGATGATACAGATATCGTGAAACCTCAAAATGTTTCCAAGAAGCCAAAACTTCTGAGTTCATTTATTCTCTTAAGCCTATCTCTTGAGCCTACCCCAGCTCATAGGGCAAGGGGTGGAGTACACTGTTCAACTATTCCAGATAAAATCCATACATGTCAATTACACTGTGGCTCTGATTCCTTGCATAACAATTATTGTACTTTATTCTGAAGAAAGACATAAAAAATACAGAATCTGAAAATGCTACTACAATTGTTAACCAACTCACACACTCAGATTAGGTGTTAACTTGTGTGTAGTGTAACACTGCAGACATTTAACGCCATTACTCAAACTGTTTTCTCACCACTTCCACTCTGTTCCAAAAAAAGGAAGAAAACTCAGTATGATTCTACAGTTATGATAGTTTTATTGGCATTTTCCAAGGTTTTATTTTACAGTGATGGTCACAGTTTGGAAAGGTAAAGAGACATGAAACAAAGAGTGGCACCATTGCAGATAAATACGGGTCCCTCCTCTGTGTGGCCTACATAGTAGCATGCGGTTTCCATGTTGGGGTATATTTGCTTGTTTAACTGAATTAATTTGTGTTTTCTAGCAGCAGATGGACATGCATAATACGTTTAATGCACTACTTTATATTGCTAGGGTTGGATCATGAATAAATTGTAGCATGGTACGTGAATAAGTTGTTGGATTGATTGCTTGACCTCTGACCTCCATCAAAGCCTCACATCCTTGTACATTCACTGTGATTAATGCTAATATTTGTCTGATTATCAATGATGCTATTCAGACCATAAGAAACTGCAGTTGTTCACCTACACACCAAGCCTTATAAGCGGTGGCTTTTATAGATTTCAATGCATTAAACAAACATTTTGCTTTTGTTTTTAAATGGTCAGATTTCGCTCCCTGAGGAAAAATACTTGTTCTATACAGTTTAAATGGCATTATATTCTTTTAAGACTGCTCTGTTAATTGAGTTGATAAAATACCAGTGTATAGTCTTGACCAGAAAGCCACATCTTCATCCAAATGGCCCAGACACTTGGTCAACTATGGCCATTAAATGTATTTAAACAGTAGCCTTGGTAATAAACAGTAAAGGCTGCATGTTCATTTGGTAACTTCAAATCAGTGTGGCCTTATTGGTACTGTAGCATCACAACATCTTAACTGTTGAATACACTGTGTGACAACACCAGAATACTGATATGAGTGAAGGACATTTTGAAACGGGGGGTACATACAACTTATCTTACACATATACTTTTTTTTAAAAAAAAAGAAAGAATGATGAAGAAAACAGGACACGTGATCTAAATCACTGAAACCATTAAAGAAACACTATGTACAGCATGGAAAGAGTTTGACTGGTGGTTGTGTAACTATTTTTTTTAAAACAAAATTAGATGAGCAACATCACAGAACAACACTGACAACAAGGACTGGAAGTGATGCAGGAGTTGGAGGGGCGAGCAGAGCAACGTGTGATATGTGCATGTGTGCAAAACTCTATCAGTATCACAATAAAAGCATAATTTTGCAGTGCCTGCTACTAAGCAAAGGAAGAGGGCGCCAGGTGTCGATGTTAAGGGCAGGGATAGGTTTGGTTGAGGGTTTCTTTTTTTGTTTGTTTTTGTTTGTTTTTTTGGGGGGGGTGGGGTTAGGGTGACATGGATTAAATAGGGTGAAAGCACTTTTCGCTGTAGTTTAGCCACTGCCCAACATCTTTGTGGCACGCTGGTTGGCCTCATCAATCCTGGTCTTGTTGGAATCAGCCTGAAAGAAAGAAGCACCAACTGTTATAGAGCTCAGGTAGGAAAATGTGGTCAAACCAGTGCTAAAGATTGGAGAGGGGCAAATTAAATGAAGATACTGAATGGATGGATAAAGTATGCAATGGCACGTGAATCAGGAATTCCCCATTAGTGTGTGAAATCGGGGCTAAATCTGATCAAAGTCAGCACAACTGGTTTATATCTGCTGTTATATACCCTGATGCCAAGCCTGTAATCCATTAGCCAACTTCTGTTTTTTCTATACAGTTATATTTTGCACGTATTTTTGTGTTTTATTTGCATTACATAAAATTCCAGCAATGGAACGGTCCAACTACACGTTCTGATTTTAATTCCTTTTTTCGATTTCTGTCTTTTTCTTCTTCTTTTTTTTTTAATGTTTTGAGAAATTATAACCTAATGAGTCAGTCTAGATATATTTCAAAGCGTCATTTTTGAAGCTGACTTGTTTCCATCAAACATCATATATATTTATTATACAGATATAAAACACCATCCCATATCAAATAAACTGAATACTGTTCATGGTAGTGGCATAAAAAGCTCTGACTGTACACTACCTTGTCCATGATCCTGTCAATCTGGCGGTTCTGCGTGTCAATCTCCTGACCCATGTCCAGGGCCATGTGACGCAGGTTGCCAATGATGCCGCCCACCTGCTCCAGGTTCTCATCCATCTCATTCTCCCGAGCATCATTTGTTACCCTGAAAAATTCACAAGGTTGAAGTGAGACTGCTTATTGGCTTAAGGTCAATGGGAGCTGTTGTTGGATTGTGCTGGAGAGCATTTTAATGGAGTTAAATTGCTTCCTAAAAACATGTAATATTAATTTTAAAAAGCCCTTATCCAATCCTTATTCCTTACTAAAAGGTCTTATTCATGCAGCCCCTCAGTTTATCCATTGTCTGTGAGTCATTGTAACTCATTTGCCTCTACAGGAGGGTTTCTTTAAGTCTGGTGTGTTCTGTTTGACTGCCTCTTGCAAACCAAAGGTTTAAATAGAAGGCAGTCAGGTTTCTACCTGTGAGGAATTTCTGCTCTCACTGAAATCATATAGACAGAAAAGTAGAAAAGCCTGCCCTACTGGCACAAAGGAAATACCTGTACATGCTCTAACTTAAAATATTAGCATTATTGGTGACCATTTTCTACTGTGAAGTACGTGCACAACAGAAAATAGGTTAACACATAACACATCTGCTTTAAGAAGGAAACACTAACTACTACAGTGTTTTTGTCTCTAGTGAGAATGAAGGGTTAGAAACATCACGTTTAAAAGTACAAATGTTCACCTTTCAGACAGCAAATTACATAACTAGGTATTACTGAATGACTTTCAACATGAGGGCTGAGATCCCTCTGGTAAGCCAAAGATAGGTTTCAGGTAATTAAGCTGCGATACATAAATAAAAATAAGTTTTTGCTTTAAATGGTTAAACGCTGATATAGGTTCAAAATGTTGTCGTGGGAACTATTATTGTGTTTATATAAATATCGAATTAATGCATAATTAAAGAGATATTGCTGCAGACTGAAATGTCTCCACAGTTCGTCAGTATTTACATCTTTAAACATTAAACTGATATACAATTTGATCTGTTCCTGAGGCGAAACTCAGTTGAGAGATTACAGTCACATTGTGCATAAGGAAGGAAAACAGTTACTTAAAGAGTCACATGAACAGTCGGCTCCAGGATATGCCTCCAGTCATTACATAATTACATACATAAACACTACCACATATCTCATTTTGCACAACAACCAAACCTGAGCATTTATGCACAGAGTCAGACACAAACAAGCAAGCTTGGGGCGTACACAAACCAACACCTACACACATGAATGGTTACCTGCGGATGAAGCCCCCACTGATGGCCATCTGTTCGCGTTCGTCCACCACTCGTGCCCCCGGCTGGCTGTTCACCACTCCATCCTGGTTCCCTCCCCAGGCCTGGCCCCCGCCCTTAATCCTACCACACATACAGTTCAGTCAGAGTCAGTGTAGCATTTTATTCTGTGTGTGTATGTTTATGTGTGTGCATGTATATGCATGTTTGTTAATGACTGAATGGTTGTGTATGTGTGTATTTGTGGGCTGGTTTGTGTATCTGAGTAAACATGTAAGGCAGCCAGTGAGTGTGAATGTGAGTAAGCAGCTTTATCCATGTGGATTTATTTCTTGCTATTTACAATCAAAACATATATATATGAATATATGTTTAGAAGACACTGCAGATGGTTTTAAGCCAATTAGCCACCTAAAAGCAACATGCCAGCCACGTATGATAAGGTTACATACATGCATTTGCAGTCTGTTGGCAAATAATTGATCTAACATGCAGATCAATTGAATCCAACACAGTAAGCTTCAATGTGGCTTATGCAAGAAAGGAATTAAAAGTTTAAAAACAAAACTTCTCCCACAAGCACATACAGAAAAGCACAAACACTGAACACAACAAGCAGTCTCCAGACAGAAGACACACAAACACAGAGATGTAAACATGCAGTGAGGAGACATGCAAGGCAGAAACATGATATTTGACATGAAAAAGGAAAAATGTAAAAAAGGCAAAGGATCCGATACATGCTCTATCTATTAAAAGAAAGCCGTTAGATCCAATGTGATTTAAAAAAAAAAAAAAAGCATATTAATTAAAAAAAAAAAAATCCCTAAACATACAATGTGATCATTTTGCATGGAAGACTTGCTAAAACCAGCCCTTCATTTCATCTGGATGGATAGATCAGTAGGAGGATTCACTGCATACAGTCAAATAAGCAAATGTAATTCTTAACATTTGTTTTACAATGCTTGGAATATCTGGTAGGTGAAGATTTCCACTTAGGTAAATTTAGTTTGGTTTTCAGCCAATTACAGCCCATTTGAGGCAACACAAATTCACCCACCAGGTATTCTAGACATGCTAGAATTCTTTTTCTCGTGCTATTTGACCCAGGGTTGCCATACAAACAGTCTCAATCAAATGAAACATATGACGTAACCACAGGATTACATAACTACTGGTTTACAAAAGGGAGGACCAAAGAGCCATAGAATAGACAAGCTCTGAACCCAAAAACCAAATCTTCTGGAAGCAGAATAAAGACGGATTTTAAATACACCCAAATATTAAATATTCTCCAAATGGGAAAAAGAGACTTTACTCATACATAATGACTGATGTGTTGAAGTAAAGCGAAAAGGATAGTGCTAATGTCAATGTCACTGTGTTGGACAATAATTATCTGTTGTTCAAATGTAATGTCATTTCCAGATTAGATCTAAAAATTGTTGCTTTACACACTAAAGGCAAACAAAAATACTAAAAAAAATACCCGTTAAGTAATACAGGAATAAAATCAGATATAACACAAAAATCATTTGTTTGGTTCTGTGTAATCCTTTCCTCAAAAACAAAAGAGCAAGTTTTACCCAACTCCCCATATTCATGGCTTGTACCTTTGTACATACAATGTGCATATTGTTAATCATTAAGACTTCACTTTATTCACTCCCAGGCAAATATCTGAGAAACACTTTGGGTGTAAACCAAATGAAAATAAAAAATATAATTTTCTTATATATACTTTTGGTTTGTAAGCCACTTGTATTTTCTATAGCTCTGAAATAGTATAACCATATCCAGCAAATGTATTTGTTCCAGCGTGTAGTATGCTCAGACATGACTCAGCAGCCATAGTTTGGCTGCTAAAAGGGTAGAGAACAGATCACACAGGAGTTTGGCAAAACTGACATTAGCAATCCAACTTAACTTTAAAAAGTAAATATACAGATTTAAGAACTTTAATACTGAAACAGTGGTCAGAAAAAAGAGAACAAGTTTGCCTAACTCATGCATGAGACTGTAATGTGCAGGGCAATGTTGAGGGAAGAGAGGTAGGATTCAATCTATAATCAGAGGTAAGGTTGTAAATTTTCCCAGCTTTCACTTCCTTAAATATATATATGTGTTTATAAGTGATACAATAACACCTTTAGTTACACTCTACAGAAGCATAGAGTCCTTCCTACTGTCACCAAATTCATAATTTCCTCCAAACAAATTCCTGGATCACTGGGGGTTGCTCTCTAATATTGTAGGGTCTTGAACTGACATGGATAGAGTATTTAAAAATGCAGATTTTCACCACAATGTCTGCAAAAAGGCAAATAAACACATTTCCAAAAGGCTAAATGTGAAATATAAAACTTTAACGTATGTCTCTGAACTGGAGGACCCGTCAGACTGACTGGCTGTGACTATCAAGTAACTGTGTAACCCAGGATAAGCTTTTTTTTACTTGATAACAATAACAGCCAGTAAAACAAAGTTACCCTTTTTCTTCAAAGAGTCCTATTGTTATAAAAAAGAAAAAATAGAAAAAAGCTTGGATTCATTTGAATGCACTGAGGCATAACCAATTATATATCTTTATGTAAGGAGGCGACTAACTGATTTGTTTCTTGGTTGGACTTTTACACAACGTGATGCATCATGCTGCAGGACGTTAGGGTGGGAGTTTGGGTAGGGTTTGGAGTGTTTCTGTGGCCGAGATCCTTGCAGATGCTGCTCCCTGCTGGAAGAGAATCTCTCATCCAATGTGGAATGAAGGGCTTTTGACAGCTGCTGAGGCTGGACAGAAAATACAGTGGCATCCGTATGTTGTTCATGCATGCACACATTCTCTCCCTGCAGAGTCTTAATTTAAATAATCTGTCTCACACTCGTGCATGCAATGCTGGTGCCTGTTCAGAGAGCGTGCTGTTGTGGCTGTAGGCCTGACTGCTCACACCACAGTTCACCATGCTCTACACACCAGAAGCAGGCAGATGGATAAAGAGGCAGGTAGGCAGGCACTGAAACACATGCAGTCAGGCGACATAGGCAACACCTACTTGTTACAGGGACATGAACATAGACCACAGAACTGTCCTAGATTGTTCAAATTCTTTTCTGCATCCTTCATGTCCTTATTGATTTGGTCCATCCCCTCCTCGATGCGTTCCAGTTGTTCTGATTACCAACACATTGTCATTTATCCCAGCAAAAGAACGTAAGCACATGAGAAGAGAAGAGAGGAAGAAATTGCAGGGTGGAAGGAAGGGGATGGGAGTAGAGAAGGGGGACAAAGGAGAGAAGACAAAAAAAGACATTGACTGTGACAAGAGAGACATCAGACATCACCATCACCACCACCACCACCATCACCAGCACTGGACAGGCAAGAGCGCACGACTCCTGGCCGGTACCTACTTTTTAATACATGGGCATATCAGACCACAGCATTGTCCTATATCTTTTAAATCTTTCTCGGCCTCCTTCAGGTCTGCGTTCACCTTGTTCATGCCCTCTTCCACACGATCAAGTTGTTCTGGTGAGGACAAAGGCATGAGAGTGTTGAAATAAAGTTGACTGGTTTGTATCGAGGGCTGGCGCTCTACGCTAGATTGCAAGAGGCAGACTGTGTTTTGCTAGATGCAGAAGGCAAAGCGGGCAAAAAGCATTAAAAGTATCAAATGAACTTTAATTTTTCTTCATCTGGAGCTTTCCATGTGACTTTTAATTGCATGCATTTCTCGTGATAGGCTTTTTTTCCCTACCTCCATGGGATCATCTTTTCTCAGTAAGTATTTGATGTGAGTGGTGCTGAGAATCAGTAGCAGTATGCTTCATCCAATTCTGCAAGTGTACACAAGGACATTTATTCTGCCACCTTAACTGCTTAAATATTACTGCATGTCAGTGAGAATAGAAATAGATGACAAAGAGAGTGAAAGACAGAAATTCATGGCTTAGGTGGCTGAGAAGCCTGAGATCCAAAAGGAACGAAAAGAAGAAAAAAGGATCAGAAGAGGCAGAAAGGGCCAAAGATTATTTAAAAGGTCTCAAAATATGATAGGTTAAGTACAAATTTGGACGGACTATTGTTGAAAAAAACTATTACTGTGCCTGTGTAAAGGCATATCGGAGGGTTTAACAACACAATGCCGCATGCAAAGCATTAAACAGGCTTCAGTATTAATGCCACAGAAAAAGAAGGTAATGCCGTCTATAGGTGCCACCATAGTAGTTACTCTGGTCATTCAAACTGATTGAATAATCCAGTCATGGCGCCTGCACATTTTAATAAAATCCACCAGTGTATTATTAAGACAAAAGGAAACAATGTATCGATTTTTCAGTCTCAAGCCTGGCTGTAACTGCGTGATGTAGATAGAAATGAAAGCTGTCTGACACTGAATTCACCCTACCCCATTTATAAACTGAATCCCTGGATAAGGAGGAATATCTGGTTCCAGATTAGTCTTATGATATTTAATTGAGAACACCAAGAAAATCTCTCCCGAGTTTTCTTACGTCAGTGTGATACTATTTTTGTAAAACTGCAAAATGTCTACTTAAAAAGAATTCTTCAAAGTATCCTCAGATCCAGATCAATTTCAAGAGTTAATCACGTCAAAGTTAGCCCAATTTCCACCTCTATAAAAATTTCCTTGCAAATGAATTCATAACCTTTTAAATAATCCTGCTAATAAAATGACAGACAGAGAGGCTCAGACATATCGCTAAGCAGAAACCAATATTAGTTAAGAAAATGGAAAGGATAAACTTCAACTCTTTATTAATAAACTAGTTATTATGAACATATGTTACGGCCCTAGCTGTGCCTCCTGAAACTGCCCTTGTGTGGGCGTGGTGTTTTTCTCCGCCTCCTCCTCTCTTGCCACTCCTACCCCCTCTGTTTCTCTCACTCTCCTCTCTCCCCAGGAGACAGCTGCTCTTGGTTAGCCTGGTTTGCCACCTGAATCCAGTCAGCAATCACCTCTGAAGCTATCTAAGCTGGGGATGAGCTGTGAGCAGGGGGTTTTTCTCTGGTGTTCCCACATTGGGTGTCGCAGTTGTCGGGAGAGATCCTATAGTGTGGAAGCAGTGTGCAGTGTAACTGCTTCACGTGAGTAGTGTGGGCTTGTGGGCCTCGGCAGCAGTAAAGCTAGCTGCTGCTAGTGACAGGGTGAGCTTGTGGGCCCCTGGAAGTGCCTCCTCGTGGTGTGGAGTTTTTGTTTGGTTGTTGTGTCCTGTGTTGTTGCAACCTTTTTCCTTTTTCCAAGTGTTATCGGTAAAACGGCGTTGCCGGCTCTTTATGTTAAGATTATCTATAATAAAGACTTTTATTTACTAAGAACACCTGTCTGTTCTCCTTTCATTCTGTTCTGGACTCATTTGTTACTGGTCCCCTTACTCGTATGCCTAGACTCCTTCGGGGGGGACGTAACAACATAAATCATGACAAAATCGTTATGCATGTTCAGCCTGCAGGGGCCGCATTTATAAAACGGACTGACCGTGATTTAAATAGAAAACTCCTTCATTATTTATATATAAAACCTTTTGCAAAGTCTAGACTTATGTAAGTGATTTTCTTGCTTATGTATTGCAATTTCCAACACATATCCAAGCCTGTGAAAAGGCTGCTTGCTGAACGCAGCAGTGACACACTCCCAAGTTACATGTTTAGCTTTGTTTGTTAACTCAATGTTTAGTAGACTTTATCTTCTCTATTAGTGGCCATCGTCTGTCTTCACAAAAGGTTTAGTCTTGATTTTTTGAACACTTAGCTTCTTTAATGAATTAAAAATAACTAAATTATTTTTGTGATCTTAAAATTAAGTTCATGGATAAACACAAATGCATTTTGTTTTAAATGGCAACCCCAGATGGAAAACGTGATCGACAAAGTTTAGTGCTGTTTGCAAAAATGTCACAATTGTTAAAAACTCATCCAAGCACAGTTGTGTATAATCCATCAGCCTTGAGTCTGGTTGAATTTAGGTCACACAGCATGTAACAGCCAAGTAGGGAGGGGCTCATTAGCTGCAGTAAGACCTCCATCACAGGTGAGACATCTCTGCAAGAAATGACAAATCTCCTCCGGTGTGACCTGTGCATGAGTGTGCGTGCATGTCGTTTAGTGTAAAGTGCAAAGAGGGATTAGTCACAGCCCAGTTTACACCTCAACAAGAGTGTACTAATTACTACAGGCATGACCAGCCCAGTGATTTTCTTTAACAGAAATATAGGAGGTAATTCTTATATCTATATGTGAAGGAGACACAAATAAATTACCATCAGTAACCAAGAGAGAAGGATAGATGGAAAAAAAGAGAGAAAAGAGAGAAGAGAAAGGCAGTGCAAGCAAGAGAGATGTAGGGTCAGGTACAGAGGACATTCGTTTAGAGGCAGAGGTAATTTAAATCTCTGCATTGATTGTTGTCCTGTTATTACAGCAGTGAGCTGTGTGCTGTGGCAAGAGTTACTCAGGGGGAAAGTAGATGTGAGGAAAGAGAGAAGAGGAAAATAGGCTATCTGTTCTTTTGACAGGCCCATTACTGTAGGCTGCTCTCTCATGCATAGAACTGCCTGCTTAAGATACAGACATATTTCCTATATGGAGGACCAGAATTAAATAACAAAATGTGATTTCACTATAAATAAAATTGAATGTGCCACGAATAACATAGTAAGATGTGACAGAACATGGTATTTTATAGTTTGCTTTGTAAATGTTTATCTGATGTTTGTCTTTAATGAGATAAATATGGTAAATGTAAAACCATTAAAAAATAATATTCACAAATAAATTCATAATTCATAAATATAAAGGGAGATAAATTAAAATGGGAGCGAAATTAAAGCACAGAAGGATTAATATAAAGCTAAATAAATACATTAGCAAAAATAAAAGTAATATTTATTTATAATATTTGACCTGAAACATTTAAGTGTGACACATACAAAAAATACGAAATCAGGACAGGGGCAAGCACTTTTTCACACTTTTTCAGCAAATGACTAAATGTTTAGATATATTTACTGGATATTAACTGTACATATTTACTGAGAATTTCTTTCTTCCTCCTTTGTTTGTTATTATAGCATTTCTGGCTGCCTGTATTTTTACTTAAAACTCTTTTACGCATAATCCATGAGCCTTGTGTCTCTACATGCATCCACGAACCAGCAGATTTTGTGGTTATTAAAGGCAGAAAAGTAGTCTTCAAATATTATTATGAAGGTTGGAAAAACATACAAATTCAGTCAGTTTCAGTATGTTATTAATTTTAACTTCTGTGGGACTCAAACCACTGACCTCTGACTGGTAGTAGCCTTCACTGAACTTCATTTTCTTCACACACTCTAATGCATGTTTCACAGAGTTTGTGCAAAAAAACCTTTCCATAGTTCTAGCACACTTTTTAAAAATAGTGAGGACTCTCTGCAAACATGGAGACTTTTTCAGAGACCATAGTGTTCATACACTTTAAAAAATTGTGGAAAAAACTCAGAACTAACATAACCATTGGTGTTAAACAGTAAGAGGTCTTATTTCTATCTATAAGCAAAGTGTTTCATTCATGCAGTCAAGCTAACATGCTAACTGTGTCCATTTAAAACTAAAGCCACACACACAATGTTTTGCTGTTGTAATGTTTAGCTCTTTAATTTCAGCTCTACTCAGTTTACACTTTTTTTTAAGTGAATCTTAATAAATTGTCACATGGACTGTTTCATTCACTGTATTCTTCATTCTAAACAGGTTTTGCAAAGCTAGTGCTTAGAGCTTCCAGTTAAGCTAGCTAGTTGAGCCACACATGATGGTTACTGGGTGTCTGCACAACTGGCACAACAACATGTATTACATCATGCATAAAATCTCCAGTTACACTTATAACTAGGTTATGTTTGAGTTTGAAAACAGCTGGAGTTACTATGCTCTGACACTCTGCATGTGTTAATTAATACTTCAGAGTGATGTACATGTGTGTAGTTTGCGGACAAACAGTGAAGGGATTTATAATCCCTACTTTGAGGGTAAACATCCATGATTTCCATTAATCTAAGTGGCTTTCAAAAGTAATGGTAATCCACCCAGAGTTATGTACCAAGTATTAAGAAATAAAAATACTATACTATACTACTTTTTTCCCTCTAAATTTGACTTTGTTGTGAAGTGCGTTCAGCTGTTTTGCTCACTGAAAATCTTAAAATGAAGAATCTCCACAGAAAATCATTATTTGTTTGACTTGCTCCCAAGTTACGTAGACAAAAACAGGCCGGAAAAGGCTCTTCTTGAGTCATAGAGTAAATCTCCCAAAAATGACTTTGGTAAGACACATTATCTGTCACTGACTGACCTCTGAACATTTAGACCTGACAATCAGGTGAACCGCAAACATGTTAGCTTGGTTTAACAGAGCAAAGTAAAACATGTACTTAACATACAGCTAAGAAAGAATCCAAGTTTTAATTCATAAGGTGTAGGGCTGCAATGATTGTGAAATGTGGGCTAACATCAATGTGTAGTGTTAAACTGACTAACAGCTGATGCCTGTTTATGTTGTTATCAACCACTGCCTTTGACAAATCTCATGATATCTGAAGTGGATGGTGAACAACGAGGGGAATATCAGCCTGCATCAAAGCTCAGCTGATGAATTGGTGCATAAACATAAACATGTGACTGAGAAAAGGGCATGAAAGTGTAATACAGGGAGGCAAAGCAGAAGGCAAGCTCAGCAGCACATTCCAGTATACTCCGTTAATCAAATGTAACTTTTTCTTACAATTGTGGCTTCCGCCACTGATAAAAAAAAGTGTTGTGCTGCAGTCAGTTTTACAGTGATTCTGTTGTTTTGGTTTGTATTTTTAAAAAGTCGCATCCCTAAAAGCCAAACTTAATCAATGTTTAGTTCAGCCTGAAATTATGGAAAGAGAAAGCCAAGAAGAAGAAGCCAAGGTTGATCTAGAAGAAGTAAAAGTTGCAAAGGGTCTCCGAACCTGTGGGAACCCCTTCATTTCACTTTTCCCTGTGCAGGTCTGCTGTAAAACCATAAATGTCATTATTTTTCCTTAAACTTGGTCTGAGAATCTAGAGTGTTATACTGGATGTACTGATGACGACTCTCCGATTGTACACCGTGAAACTGCAGCAAGAGAGAATCAGGAGCAGAGCAGATAAAAGTGATCTCTCCCTGTCAACTTACCTCCCTGCTCATCCAACATGACGAGAGTCCTGATGCCAGCATCTTTACTCTAACAGACAGACAGAAGGAGAGGTAAGAAGACGACAGCAGAGAAGAGAAGTGAAAGGAAGAAGAGAAATAAAGTTGACAGATGAGTGAAGGTCAGCAGAGCAGAACAGAGCAAAGCTATCAAAGCAGCAGCAAAAGTGGGTCAAATTGCAATCTGAAATCACATTTTTGAAACTGATCCTGAGAGGCACAGCAGAAAACAGCAGGGACATTTTGACAGCTTCTTGCTTTACAAAACTGCTCCTATGTCTGTGTGCTAAATATAAAGATTAAAGCAGATGATCGGCTAGTCTGCTCCGTCCAAAGGTGACAAAAACGCACCTCTGAAAGAAAACCTGATATTTTTATCTTTTAAAATGGGATAAAAGATATTTAAGCAACTTTCAGATGGGTTCGGGGTACAGCTGTCTCCCCCAAAGGAGTAGTGCACCCCACTGAACTGCACAAAATAGGGCAGGGATAGCTCAGTAGGTAAAGTGGTCGCCCCGTGATTGGAAGGTCAAGGGTTTGAATCCACTGAACGGCTACCCTGAGGTACCCCTGAGCAGGTCCCTACACACTGCTCCCCAGGCGCTGGATTGGTGGCTGTACACTGCTTCAATGAGTGAATGGGTTAAATGCAGAGAGTAATTTCCCTACAGGGGATTAATAAAGTATACATTAAAATGTTTTGTGCTTTTTTTTAGTTGTAGCTCGAGAAATATGGTAAAGGAACTGATCGGACTTCCAAATGTCCAAAATACAAAACTAATTGTGTCTAACGTTGTGTAAAAAGCAGGAATCATGAAGGAACCAAAGACTGCTACAAACATCCTACTGTCAGGCACCACAGGACGCCCCCAGAGGTCCCACAACAATGTGTGAACAGGCCAGGAAGCAAAACAAAACCCATTACAATTTTTTGGCTGTTTGCTGTGCTGATATGTCTGTACAAAGTATCCATCTTTTGTATATTTAGTTACATATGTTAAAAAGTTTACACATTTAGAATAAATCAGTCACAAATCAGTCGTATCACTGAAATTGATCCACATCTATATCAATGCTGAAAAAGACTGGGTCTGCATGGGTCTGTATGAGTAAAGTTAAACTGGATGAGGAAATTTTTCTCAGTATAAATAACATTAAAAGACAAAAAACATGAGTTTTGATGAAAGAAATTGATAATTCTTAGCATCGCATTCAGCTGTGCCAAAGTTTGCAGATACACTTGCATAAACCCTATGGGAGGGCGGCTTGTTTCCCCAAGAGGGCTCATGGGAAATCATGCGAGGGCAGCCATGGCCTCAGAACTACAGGACAGGATATCTGACCTCGCCAATTGGCAGAGTCTCACGCGGTGACATCACTTCTTTCTGCATGGCTAGTTAAGGACACATGCTCACAGAGTATCAGGACTTTTTCACACTTCACTGTGAGTCATAAAGTCACAGGATACTGTCCCCCCACCCACCCAAAAAATTTCTACCCAATGAACAGATAAGGCGCTTTCTTTCTTTGCACTTTGTTTTGATGTTAACCATTTGTAAATATGTGAAGCAGACCTCTTTTGATATATTTCTAAGCATATAAAGTCAACTCGTGAAGTAGGAAGAATAAAAATAATGTGATATCTTAAAGGTGAACTTATTCTAAGCTTCTTAGAGGCTCAGTGCTGCATTTGTATCAGTTACAGTCCTTCAGATAAACACAGCTGGTATTGATCTTTCATTCACATTTGCACTTTGCTGTCTGGCTTACCGGTGTGTTTAAATGTGATGCTAAAGGGTCCTTATGTTGGAATCCACACAAGATTAATTGTAAGGACAGATCCAGCATACTATTGCTACAGGTGCCAAAGGACACTTTGTGCGTACTTGTTGCACAACTGTATTTAACACCCTCTCATTAGTTTAATCTGTAACAGTACTTTGAAATAATAAAAAATATGCATATTTTGAAACTATTTAAAAGGCCATGTTCAGAGATGGGCTGGGGTACAAACACACGGGAAACACACAGCAACCTGCATGGCATTTTATTTCTAAATTAATTTGGTTACATTAGGCGCTAAAACTACTTGGCTAGAGTTGAGAAAAAAACATGATTTGCATAACCACACTTTACTTCCAGCTCACATGGCACATAAAGGTACCTCGATACTAGTCTGGTCTAATCTAGCCTAAATAATAAAGGTCATAATTAAAAAGCTTCATCAAACTAGCTATGGGATTGCTTTCTGCCCCTCACAATACCGCTGATGCATTTCACGTATTTACCTTGTGATTCAATAACGATACCACAATAACGGCTGAGAACATGGGTTGTTAGTTTGTGGGTTGAAGTGAGTGTACCTCATTGGTAAAACTATTAGTTATACGTCTATTTAGGCTTAGATTATAATTTACAATTCATATCACTTCACTAATAAAAACAGCTTGTATGAATACAAAATAGCATGTTCATCTTGTGTAGTTTACTCTCCGACTTAAGGCCTGACACCGCTCATCAAATCGGATCTCCATCCATCCATCCATCCATCCATCTTCATCCGCTTTGTCCGGGGCCGGGTCGCGGGGGCAGCAGCCTAAGCAAAGAGGCCCAGACCTCCCTCTCCCCAGCCACCTCCTCCAGCTTATCCGGGGGAATACCAAGGCGTTCCCAGGCCAGCCGAGAGATATAATCTCTCCAGCGTGTCCTGGGTCTGCCCCGGGGCCTCCTCCCGGTGGGACATGCCTGGAACACCTCACCCAGGAGGCGCCCAGGGGGCATCCTTGTCAGATGCCCGAACCACCTCAGCTGGCTCCTTTCGATGTGGAGCAGCAGCTGCTCTACTCTGAGCCCCTCCCGGATGGCCGAACTTCTCACCCTATCTCTAAGGGAGAGGCCAGCCACCCTTCGGAGGAAGCTCATTTCTGCCGCTTGTATCCGCGATCTCGTTCTTTCGGTCACTACCCACAGCTCGTGGCCATAGGTGAGGGTAGGGACGTAGATCGACCGGTAAATTGAGAGCTTCGCTTTTACACTCAGCTCCCTCTTCACCACGACGGACCGGTGCAGCGTCCGCATTACTGCAGCTGCAGCCCCAATCCGTCTGTCGATCTCCGGCTCCCTTCTCCCATCACTCGCGAACAAGACCCCGAGATACTTGAACTCCTCCACTTGGGGCAGGAACTCATCCCCGACCCAGAGTGGGCACTCCACCCTTTTCCGGCTGAGAACCATTGCCTCAGATTTGGAGGTGCTGATCCTCATTCCCGCTGCTTCACACTCGGCTGCGAACCGTTCCAGTGCGAGCTGGAGGCCTTCACCCGATGAAGCCAACAGAACCACATCATCTGCAAAAATCAGAGATGAGATTCTGAGGCCACCAAAGCGAAAGCCCTCCGCCACTTGGCTGCGCCTAGAAATCCTGTCCATAAAAATTATGAACAGAACCGGAGACAAAGGGCAGCCCTGGCGGAGCCCATCACCCACCAGGAATGAGTCCGACTTATTGCCGGCAATGCGAACCAAGCTCTTGCAACGGTTGTATAGGGATCGAATGGCCCGTAGCAATGGGCCAGACACCCCATATTCCCGCAACACCTCCCACAGGACACCCCGAGGTACACGGTCGAATGCCTTCTCCAAGTCCACAAAACACATGTAGACTGGTTGGGCAAACTCCCATGCACCCTCAAGTATCCTGGAGAGGATAAAGAGCTGGTCCAGTGTTCTGCGACCAGGACGAAAACCGCATTGTTCCTCCTGTATCCGAGGTTCGACTAACGGACGAACTCTCCTTTCCAGCACCCTGGCATAGACTTTCCCAGGGAGGCTGAGGAGTGTGATCCCCCTGTAGTTGGAACACACCCTCCGGTCCCCTTTCTTAAAGATGGGGACCACCACCCCGGTCTGCCAGTCCACAGGTACTGCCCCTGATCTCCACGCAACATTGCAGAGGCGTGTCAACCAGGACAGCCCTACAACGTCCAGAGCCTTCAGGAACTCGGGGCGGACCTCATCAACACCAGGGGCTCTGCCACCAAGGAGTTGTTTAACTGGCTCAGTGACCTCGCCCCCGGAAATTGGCGGGTCATTCCCCTCATCCCCAGACTCTGCTTCCTCCTCGGAAGACGTGTCAGTGGGATTAAGGAGGTCCTCGAAGTATTCCTTCCACCGCCTGACAATTTTCTCAGTCGACGTCAGCAGCGCTCCGCCAGCACTATTCACAGTGCAGGTAGAGCACCGCTTTCCCCTCCTGAGACACCTGACGGTTTGCCAGAATCTCTTCGAGGCAGTCCGAAAGTCTTTTTCCATGGCCTCTCCGAACTCCTCCCACACCCGAGTTTTTGCTTCAGCCACTGCCCGAGCCGCATTCCGCTTGGCCTGTCGATACCTGTCGGCTGCCTCCGGAGTCCCACAGGCTAACCAAGCCCGATAGTTCTCCTTCTTCAGCCTGGTGGCTCCCTTCACCTCTGGTGTCCACCATTTGGTTCGGGGATTACCACCACGGCAGGCACCAACCACCTTGCGGCCGCAGCTCAATGCAGCAGCTTCGGCAATGGAGACGCTGAACATGGTCCATTCGGACTCAATGTCCCCAGTCTCCCTCGGAATGCTGTTGAAGCTCTGCCGGAGGTGTGCGTTGAAGATCTCGCGGACTGGGGCCTCTGCTAGACGTTCCCAGCACACCCTCACTACGCGTTTAGGTGCACCAGGTCTGTCCAGCGGATCTCTTGTGTTATTATCTGCTTCACAGAGACACTGAAATCCAATTTTATGTCCTTCACAGATTTCTTTATATCCATCTGTTTATCGTTCACATTTCCCCTCGTCTGATCTACTCATGTTCATCTCCGTCTTTCATTCTTTTACTTCATTTCCACCGCTCTCATCTGCTTTGTTCACGTATCACAAACCAAGGAGCAGTTTTTCATTTCTCTTCCTACAGGCCTGACATGACGATAACATCTTTCATAAAGACTTTAATAATCTGCGGGTCCTCGTTTATGAAACCTTTTCAAGTTGCTGCATGAGTTTATTCTTCTCTCTACATCGCTCCGCTGCTGCTACAGGATTGTTATTATTGTTATTTAGATGATACATTTACCACTTCGCTGTTAATCAGTGAATTTCAAAATCAAAGAAAAGTAAAACCTTAAGAGTTTTGCAGAAAACAAACAGCCTGTTCAGCTTTTTTTAAACCATAAAGTCTAATAGTTTTCAGTTATTTAAAGAGCATTTGCAGATGATTTCCACATCACCTACCAGCGTCATGTTATATCACAGTACATGACGTAATGTTTTCCTGCCAGTGACTACCAGGCACAGTGAAATCTTCTACAATGTCCGACATGAGTTGTTCAATACACATTAGAGGTTTCTTACTACACTCTGCTATGACATTGTGTAATGTGATGTGTTTGCACCAAGATAATGGTACAGGTCTGGGTTTATTTCTGTCCTTCACATTAGCAGTGGCCTATTTAAGCTACAAACCGCACTTCAGTCTGCCTGGCTGGCCCTTCTGAGCCAAGCTCTCCTTACACACTTTCACTCAGTTTGTGGGTTCGCATGGAGGGCCAGCCACATTAAGAGCTCTTTCCAACCAACTAGACTTAATTGAAGTGCCTTAAAAACCCTCCAAGTCTGCACTAATGCAGGTTTACTAACCACACTTTTACATCTGATATGGAGGAAACTGTGCACTTACAAGTATTAATTCAGTTTGGTTATTTACTGTCTCAGCGATAAAAAAATAGCCTTCATCTAAAAGTGGAGTTTTGTTTTTGTGTTTCTAAATGCCAATATTAAAGAAAAAGGAAGACGAAAAATAATGACGCAGGATCATTTTGAAAATCATGTTAACACCTGAATTCAGAGTAGATGCTGAAAAGCCACGTAATTATATAACAGCTGTGCAGAGGTTTGTCTTCTGCTTTTATACCTTTGCTCGTCTGTTTTCACCCTGTCTATGTCTTCTTCACCTGATCTACTGGCTGACTCTCTTTGTACAAACAGTCATTTTATTGTGTCTGTCTCGCTCATTTATCAGTCATTAAAACAAAACAGCGCTCATGTCGCTCATTGCTCCTGTCCAATTTGCACGAGACAACGACATATTACATCACCAACTGTAAGTGGCAGAAAATTAATGGCTCAGGAATAATAATGATGAATTGACTGGAAATTTTTACAACCGGAAATTAAACATCTGAGCATAAAAGGGGAACTTAGTCAGAAAAGCAGCCTAAGATTTTATTCTGGGATCTTGAAGATGGATGCAAGTTTATTTTAATTATATACTTTCCTGACTATTAGCTTCTGTCATTTTATATCTTCTCCGCTCCCTCAACAGACACTCGCCTGATTTACTCATCTATCCTGTTTTTGGTCTTTGGTTTGAATATGTCATGACTTTCAATACACATGTGGCTCATACTGAAGATAGAAATAAATTATCTGAGCTAAAACTACACATACGTCAGTGACTGTGACTAATCTGTAGGACGGTGCCAGAAAAAAGTGAATGTTCAGATTTATTATACAAGGTTGTTTTTTAATCTGTCAGTTTCTGTTGTTTTAATAATAAAGAAAATAATTATTTTAATAAGTAGGATTACTTCAATAAGTGGGATTATCCTTCAAAACGCATCATTTTTCAAATCATAGCTACCCTACAAATAACACTTAATCTTTACAGAAGAAGCACACACTGTAGAACCAAATTAATACAGTATCAGCATGCTAACCCTTCAGGGACACATATTTAATTTCTTTCGATGTGAATGAAAAGCTTGGTATGTAGAGTAGGTCTCCCAAAGGACTTCCATTTGTCACTCATGGCTTTCTCTCATTAGACATGGTCATTTGTCCAGGGGTTAGTGTGAAGCCATGTCTCCATTTCTGCAGCCAGTGTGAATACACCGATAACTAAAGGACATATGAACAGCTGTTTATTGCTTTCATCTTGGTAGCACTTAAAGCTAGAATATCCTGCTGACATGTAAGCTAAAAGTAAAAACAACAATATCTTGTTTTTTTTCCTGGCTCAATGGAATGACAAGTAATTTAGGCATCGTAGGTAATTCAAATGATACTGTACCATAAGAGAGAAATCTAAATAAGTATAGATTTGGAACACTATATATATATATATATATATATATATATATATATATATATATATATATATATATATATATATATATATATATATGTATATATATACATACACATACATATATATATATACATACACATACACATACACATACATATATATATATATATACATATACATATACACATACACATACATATATATATACATATATATATATATATATATGTGTATGTATATATATATATACATATATATATATATATATATATATATATATATACATACATACATATATATATGTATATATATACATATATGTATGTATATATATACATATATATATGTATGTATATATATATATATATATACATACATATATATATATATATATGTATATATATACATATATATATATATATATATATATACATACATATATATATGTATATATATACATATATATATATATATATACATACATATATATATACATACATATATATATGTATGTATATATATATATATGTATGTATATATATACATACATATATATATATATATATATATATGTATGTATATATATACATACATATATATATATATATATGTATGTATATATATACATACATACATACATACACATATATATATATACATATATATACATACACATGTATGCGTGTGTGTGTGTGTGTGTGTGTGTGTGTGTGTGTGTGTGTGTGTGTGTGTGTGTGTGTGTGTGTGTGTGTGTGTGTGTGAATATTTTTTTCAGCAACAAGAAGAACAAGGATTCTTTCAAACAGAGCTCTGATCTCAACATCTTAGGGTCAGTCTGGATCACACAAAAACACAGAAAACACTGGTGCAGCTTAAATTCACTGTGACAAACTGCAGAGTTCTCCAAATATTGACCTCCTGATTAAGTTAGTGTACTTCAGCAAGTGTTCAGCGCTTGGCATCCTGCTATTTTTAGATCCCTCTGTTGAGAGTCTTGTTCTGACCACTTGTGCATTTGTGAAACTTAATCCATCAAACTCATCTAACTTGTTTGTTGAGGATCATCTGTTATGATAAATGTTGATCCACAGGCTAAACAGCAGTCGTCAGTGAAACAATCAATGGGTTCAAAGCCTCAGAATCAGGTCAGTAGTGCAAACAGGAGCACAGTTATCGTTCTTCCAGGCTTACAAGCCTGATGGACGACATTTATTGCAAGCCATTTTAACTGTGAGGTGTGCCATAGCTATCACACAGCATGTTGACAACATTTTCTGGCCACACTAGCACACCTAGTGTTCATCACTGTCCTACTCAAGCAAATCTTTTGTCCTTTGCTCAGAATTGTTTAAGGATTGCTATTGTGACACAGGGGAGGAGCTCTACCATGCACTGGACATGCACAAGTGCAAGTCCTCAAAAGAAGAAGAGGAGGTCCATCAGGTATTTAAGTACAGGGTCAAAGAATACTACTTTGTGGAAGTTATAGAAAGTTTAGTAGGCCAAGTGTAGATCTTTTGGGACTGACTAACCAAGTAAATCTATGTGAAAACTCAACCTTAGACATTAAGCAGAAGCACAGGCGAGGGGCATGTACAAGAACAAGAAGATCTCACAGTTCTGGTAAATCAGCTTCTCTCTCTCTCTCTCATGTCTTTTGTATCTGTTAATGTGATGTGTGTCATTGAATCACTGGACTCACCTCCTCCACAAGAGCCAGCATGCGCCGAGTACTCTCCAGAGACTGCAGGGAGAGTAAGAGAAAGATTAGCAAAGGATTAACTTAGAGTCCAAAGGAGAGCAAACACAGACACACGGTGTGGCACCAATTTCTCAACAACATCTCAGTGTGTTAACGTAGAAAATGTATTAAAAACATAAGGTGGAAAGGGAGAACGGAGGACCACTAATATGGTAAGACGAATGAGTGTCACTCAGTAATATAGTTACACCTAGATGTTCCTCTCCTGTTGTCTGATTCCATGATTCCTACTGTTATTTGCTTTGCCTCCTGTTGCTCTATCAATCTAACGTTCCACCCATTTCTCCTCTTTTCCTTTCCTCTATTCCCATCACTGGCCCTACATTATCTCCTCATGAATGTTTAATAATGCCATTTGAGCTGATCCATTATTCTGCAGCATGGAATTATCTGCTCTTCCTGAGCTCCTCTCATCTCATTAAAAAAGGGCAGAGTTCTTCCTTATCCAAAAAAAGCACTTTCTTGATGAAAGATTCTTAGAGCTCCAAATGCTGAAACAAGCTGAGGTCACTTTAGCAGCTGTATCTGTCAGCTTGCAGGCTTTGGAGATACATTTGTGTCCTTATGAGAACGGTCCATTTTCAAATGTCAAATTATAATTGGAATGTCACAGAAAAATCCGTTTTTACTGGAGATTTCAGTTTTTATGCTTGTTCCCTGTTTATGTGGTAACTTTGCCAGTGAGCTACATTATCATTAGTTAAAACTTGGCGCTGTTGCCTGAAGGAGTTCTCTGCATGTTTGTAGCTGATGTAAGTGATTAATTACAAAGTAAATTTTTAAACAATAGCTCATAAATAGCAGAATGATTTGGAATCGCAGTGTTTCACACAGAGCTGGATTGTTTTTACTTTGTATTTAAAGATGCAGAGGGCACAGGCTTGTTCTCGTAAATAAATTATTCACGATAAAATTTACAGTTATTGTAAATAATATTCATCATCCTGTGAATGGACTACAGATCCACCATCTTAGATACAGTTGGCAACAGTAGTCCTTATTCTGCTCTGCAGCCTCAATTAGCTTCAACGTAGCAGCACATGAAATACATTAGGTTCATAATTTATCGGACAAAGACGCAGGTTTTATGGTTTTTCCTGAAAACCACCACAGGTGAGTTTAAATCAAATAACCATGGTGTGATTTAAGTGCAGTCTTTGAGTCTGCACAACAAAAAGAAAAAGAACGACGTCTTTCAGTCTGCACTGTTTGATTTAAAATCCAACTGTGTCTTTGTTCTACAAATTATGGACCTAACTGCATAAAAGAGGCAGTGCTACTGTTGCCAGTTGTTGTCTGGATGGTGGAGTTGGAGTCTGACAGCTAACAGTTCAATCTATCTGGACCACAGAGAAACACTAGATAGAAAGGAACAGCGTCAGCCAATAATGGGCTAAATTGAATGGATCTTCATTTCACACTGACAGAAAAATAGAGAATAGATTGTAATAAATATTCAGGCAGCTGTCAATATTGCAGGAAAGCAGCAATTTATATCTATGAGAAATATTACAGTGTAACTGTCACATATTGTAAATTAAAGATAAAAAATATACTCTATTATACTACTACTATATATTTTCAGCCTTATAGGAAATATTTTTTCTGTAAATCCCATCTCTTTAAAGTGGATTTATTCTGCTCATTTTCACTTATATAGTTTTATTCTTTTAGAGTAGCTTTGGATTTGATTCTCAGTTGCATCTAATCCTCAGTTTTAACTCCAGTCTCTTCAAAGCCAGGCTCCAGCTTTCTTCTGATTGGCTATCCTGTGTTTATAAATGGTTTAAACAGCAGGTGGGTGGGGCTTATGCGTCCAGAGGAGAGGAGAACCCCTAGCATATACATATTTAGGATATCATTTTTCACTGGCATGATACAGAGCCACAAATATGAAAAAAACTGTCTGATCATGAGCTTTTAGAGGAGTCTTAGGAAACAACAATGTGTAGAACAGAAATGAAAAACACTTTAACAACAACAACAAAAACCTCTAAAAAACATGTTTCTCTTACTGTACCTCATCAGCTATCTGGTCTGCACGTGTCTGCAGATCGGCCAGCTCATTGCGCATGTCCGATTCGTCTGCCATGACGACTGTTGTACTTTGACGTCAAAGAAGAAAAACTAGAAAAATAGAGAGAAGAAGAAGGGGAGAAGCAGGGTTAGTGCACCAACAACACAACAAAATCTATTGCACAAAAGATGCTTTGAACAGCAGACAAATCACAGGGAAGAATCTGATTTCTGAAAGTAAGTTGTTGTTCAAATTAAAAAGCAAAACAAAACAAAGAGACACATGATGCTGTCATTAGTGGGAGTGTTTTTGCTTCAGGACTCAGCCCAAGTTTGAGTGACCCCTGAGTTGGAAGGATTATCTACAGTGGGGCAAAAAAGTATTTAGTCAGCCACTGATTGTGCAAGTTCCCCCACCTAAAATGATGACAGAGGTCAGTAATATGCACCAGAGGTACACTTCAACTGTGAGAGACAGAATGTGAAAAAAACATCCATGAATCCACATGGTAGGATTTGTAAAGAATTTATTCGTAAATCAGGGTGGAAAATAAGTATTTGGTCAATAACAAAAATACAACTCAATACTTTGTAACATAACCTTTGTTGGCAATAACAGAGGTCAAACATTTACTATAGGTCTTTACCAGGTTTGCACACACAGTAGCTGGTATTTTGGCCCATTCCTCCATGCAGATCTTCTCGAGAGCAGTGATGTTTTGGGGCTGTCGCCGAGCAACACGGACTTTCAACTCCCGCCACAGATTTTCTATGGGGTTGAGGTCTGGAGACTGGCTAGGCCACTCCAGGACTTTCAAATGCTTCTTACGGAGCCACTCCTTTGTTGCCCGGGCGGTGTGTTTTGGATCATTGTCATGTTGGAAGACCCAGCCTCGTTTCATCTTCAAAGTTCTCACTGATGGAAGGAGGTTTTGGCTCAAAATCTCACGATACATGGCCCCATTCATTCTGTCCTTAACACGGATCAGTCGTCCTGTCCCCTTGGCAGAAAAACAGCCCCATAGCATGATGTTTCCACCCCCATGCTTCACAGTAGGTATGGTGTTCTTGGGATGCAACTCAGTATTCTTCTTCCTCCAAACACGACGAGTTGAGTTTATACCAAAAAGTTCTACTTTGGTTTCATCTGACCACATGACATTCTCCCAATCCTCTGCTGCATCATCCAGATTGAGGGAGATTATCAGTGGTCTTGTATGTCTTCCATTTCCTGATGATTGCTCCCACAGTTGATTTTTTCACACCAAGCTGCTTGCCTATTGTAGATTCACTCTTCCCAGTCTGGTGCAGGTCTACAATACTTTTCCTGGTGTCCTTTGAAAGCTCTTTGGTCTTGGTCTTGGCCATGGCGGAGTTTGGAGTCTGACTGTTTAAGGCTGTGGACAGGTGTCTTTTATACAGATGATGAGTTCAAACAGGTGCCATTCATACAGGTAACGAGTGGGGGACAGAAAAGCTTCTTACAGAAGACGTTACAGGTCTGTGAGAGCCAGAGATTTTCCTTGTTTGAGGTGACCAAATACTTATTTTCCACCCTGATTTACGAATAAATTCTTTACAAATCCTACCATGTGAATTCATGGATTTTTTTTTCACATTCTGTCTCTCACAGTTGAAGTGTACCTCTGGTGCAAATTACTGACCTCTGTCATCATTTTAGGTGGGGGAACTTGCACAATCAGTGGCTGACTAAATACTTTTTTTCCCCACTGTAACATAGGATTTAACGTTTGAGTAAAAGTATGACTGCAAACTAAAATCCAGCAACATGTTACAAGACATTTACCACAACTACCTTCAACCTGCTGAATACAATTCTTACTGCCAATCAAACACAATAAAAATTACTTAGCACTTAGCTCTCTATCCAAAAAGCAGTTCTGGAGAACCATCCTGGCAGTGCAAAGGCAGGGAAGCACAGACTTAAATTCATTTGATCCAATTCAAATTAAAGCAAGATATCCCATTTACATTTAGTGTTACCATGCAACCTATAAACACACAACCCATCTGCACTGAGAAAACAGCTGAATTCACGATTTAAATATACCGAGATGACGCACATGGAGGTGTACATGTTAGAACTGAGTGTGAATCTCAGTCACACACACACAGACTGACCACGCTTTGTAAAAAAAAAAAAGTGTCTCACAAGCTGAAAGGTCACCTAATTCTGCTACTGTCTCCAAACTAAAGTAAGCCAGACAAAGGCACAGGTGTTAGCAGTAATCTTTAATCTCTGCATTGAAAAAAAGAATACAGCCAGCAGCACTGCTTCCCTTGTCCTCGGATGTACCTAGATCCGATCAAACTATGTGCACAATCAAGATGAGTGGAAACTTTTTAATTCCAGAGGTCCAAGGATTATATTTCAGTGTCCACATAGGAATCATGAGAGAACGGAACCTCGGTCTCTCTCTGATACAGGTGCTTTTTACTGACTTTCAGAATTCTGAAGTTAAAGCTTGGCAAAATTAACATTTACCACCTGCACTATAATCCAATTTTAGGGGCAGAAAACAACATATGTGAACTGCTATAACCAGAAAAGTATCATGGAAACACTGCTGTGACGGATGCCGTGAGTTCAAGCCACTACCCTGCTAACCCTGATCTTCTTCCTCTGGAACCAGTGATCATTTAAGATGAACGAGGGAGGAGTGCCATGATGATTCTAGTTAGAAGAAAGAGTCAGGACAGGAGACAGGGGTCTATTTTCTTTGCTCTGATGCACTGCCAGGCAGTTTTTCATACAGCCACACACAGTAGAGCCGGAGGTATGGTTCATGAAAAATATATGTGGCTGTTACTCCGCAGTCTGACAGAGTAAGTCTGCTGCTGGTTGGGACGGCACTGATGAGAGGCTGAGGAGACAAAAGAAACCAGCTCAGATGCTTTTGTTTCCTTCACTCAATTATGCCTGCAATGAGGCAAAGAATCAGATCTGAGCAGATCTCATTTATAAGTGTAATGAATTTTTGTTTCTACTGCACAAATCACATTGAAGAGATTTTGCTGTGATGAGGCTTGTTGCTGATATATATTTAACCACCCAGCAGCTTTCAATTCAGGATCATTAAAGCTTTATGTAAGCTAATCTACTGCAGCGTAAAGTATAGCAAAGGGACCAACAGACCGTTGGTTTCTGCACTCTATAAAGCTTTGTGGTGGAGGATTTTTATTAGATTACCACTGCAAAATAGCATGTATGCTCATGATTAAAAGTGGAAGTTATTTTTCTACATTGATTGTAAGTCACCATCATTTTCATGTTTTATGACAATGTAAAACTCTGAATTTCTCATAAATTACACAAACGACCAGTTTTTGAGACATTCAAATGAGGTTTTCTGCCATCAATCAAGCATGGTCAGTTAGTGCCACAGCTGGATGTTTGATAAAATATTGCCTATTTTTGCCCCTCCTTCTGTCTGTCCGCCTCTGCCTCGATCCCAATGGAGTCGTCACAGCCGTTAATAATTGAACATGTGCCGGGGAAAAAAGATGGAACGGAAAGAGAAAAATCAGTCCTTTTCCTCGTTCGTGCTCTGTGCGCGCGCACATGTGTGTGTTGTGTCTGCTCAGCCTTGTATGTAATTTTGCTTTAAAATATTTATGTTGACATTTTACATTTTAGCCATGTGACTAATGCTATAATGGAGAGCTGCTTACACTGAGTGCAACAGCAGAATGAGTTAGTTTACAGATCAACAGCATTACGGGTTATCTTTCAGATTATGAAAAAACCTTGTTGAAGTCACCTTTTATGTGTATTTTTTCAAACTTTTCTAACAGAAATGAGAAAGCCTGCAGTTCTTCTAGGTGTCATTTGAGGCCAAGTCTGAGACAAACTTTATTGCATTAAAAATCATATTAACAGGCTGGTGACAAACAAATAGTTTACCCCGTATTGTTAATTTCCCCTTCATAACAGCTGTGAGTGGGGTGGCAGCTGTCCCAGTCAGTATCTGCTGGGTGTCAACCATTACACTGAGCCAATAAACTGGGCTTCTTTGCTGTTTGTGTACTATCGGTGTCTTTTTTAATTGATTATCTGACTAAAATTAGGTCTTGCTGTGCATCCCAATGTGTGTGTTTGTTTTTTTTAATGTTCCTCGACACAAATTTCCCAGTTTTATTTCATATCCCACAAGACATTTTTCATCACTCTGTGCTCACATGTAGCCTACTGATTTGGATTTGGAGTGGTGGGGGAATAAGTTCTCTTGACATTCATGCCAAATACAATGATATTAGTTAAAATACAGGGGCTGCCACTTCTTTCAAAACGTTATATTCCTGGCTGCCACTGTCACTACCAATGACTGTAGAAAACTGTTGTCTACAGTCAATATCACTACAAAAATATATTAAGTCTATCTATAAAATCTATTTCCTACTGAAATGCATTACTTATAAATTCCTGTTCACTAACAATAAAAAAACTGACACTGTAAAAAACATTGTAATGTCACAGTCCTGGGTCTTTGACCTAGAGTTTTGATTTTAACTTTGGATGTTGTATATGTGTACATCACATATTGTATGAGAAGTGTCATATAAACAAAGCCTTTTGTCTTGGGTCCCGTTTTGGCCCTTCCCATTATCAAATACAACACCATTAATCGTCATACTCTGAAGTGAAACATGTCTGAGTGTGTTTACAAACCCTTTGACCAGCAGCAGTACCTGAATTAAACAGTATTATAAGTCGTGTCAGGCCTGTACTCTCACATGTACTCTCAAACATGCTCTATGTTTTCTGTTCCTACTACACTTCAACACATCTACCCCAGTGTAATGTCCACTGTGTTATTGATCAGCCGTTGATTGTTTATCTCTTTGCAGTGGCAGAGCGTCCTGTTTACTCACACATTGCACAGCCTCTTCTACTTCTTTCCTATACTGACTGAGGCCTTTCTCACCCTCCTTCTCAAGCCATCAAAACTTTATAAATTTAAAAACATCTTGTTCATTAATTTTTAATGTTAAAGTACATTTTCATTTAAATACAGTTCAATCATATCGTATTTTTGATACTGAAGTGAATAAACAGTATAAACAGTGTATTGCATGTCCAGCATACAACC